TTTGGGGTAAAGCATAGTAGAGCTGTCAAATTGGGCTGTAGCCCGTGGGACGGCCCGTTTAGCCCTAAATCCAGCCCCAACAAAATTCAGCCCCATATGTTGGGGGCTTTTTTCAACCCCAACCCCATATAGCCCCATCATTTATTGGGTAGGGCCGGGCTAACCCGCGGACAGCCCACATTCCCTGACCAAGTTTCTATCTTAAGCGAGAATTAGGTTTAGCGTTTTTATTCCTTCACATTTGTTCCATTCTACCTTTTCCAAGTTCCACCGCGTTATACCCACACTTCACCGGTTATACATCGTCGCCGCTTCCGCCGCCGCCGAAGGCTTTCAGGATCACCGGAGACCTACCTCCAGCGGCATGAGTCGCACCGTTGAATCCTTCAGCAGTCCTCGCCCTGCAGGTCCGCCGTTTGCCGCCTCCCGGAGATACCCCAGGACCCCGCCCGTCGTCCCCGAGGACTGCCGCAGCGACTGTGACTCGTCGTCGTCAGTAGTCGACGACGGAGACGGTGACATCGTTGCTTCCTCGTCGTCGTCGATGTCGTCTCGCCGTTAGCCGTTAGCCGTTGTCGTTTGATCTCAACGTGCCGCCGTTGGATGATGCTGATGAGGCAGCGTACGGAGGCGGCAATGACCTTCAGCACCGTTCTCTACCTCTGAATAAATGAATGGATCAACTCGTCGAAGAAATTATTAATTTTTTTTTTTACCTCTTTTCTCTTTGAATTTTTTGTCCTTTCTTTTTTTTCCCCTTTTTTTAACTGCGGAAAAAAATGAAATGAAAATGAAAATCATGATTGATGATCAGTTATAAGATTACGCTAATATGATCTTAATTTCTGTTAGAGTAATTATTCATGGTGTATGAAAAAGGCTATTATTGCTCCTTTTTTTTAGTTTTTTCTCCTAAATTAATAAATTTTATTTTATATATAAAATTTATTTTATAAATTTATTTAATTTGAGGATAAAATAAATTTGTATTTTCTTATTAGTTTTGTATATAAAATAAATAGTTTCAGGTTTTAATTATATAATCAATTGCTTGCATTGATTATTCTTTGAGGTTTTGTTTAAATCAGATAAATTCAGTTTAATCTATTTTTGAGTATATATATCTGCTTGTAATTGTATATCTGAAAGCTGGAAAATACTAGACAATATTTCTTAGTATTTTAATTAATTATTTTTTGGCCCGTGGGCTGGCCCTAACCCATGGGGCCATATAAATTTTTTGGCCCGTGCGGGCTTTTTAGCCCGCACGGGCTAAAAAGCCCGCACGGGCCTTTTGACCCTAACCCGCGCAGGTCAAGGCTTAACGAGCCGGGTTGGCCTGTTTTGACAGCTCTAAGGCATAGAATCTGAATATACTTCACTTTTGGGCTACCAAAGCATATTCCTTTGAAACTCAAATATAACCAACCAATGTCTTACAACATTCTCTTCCGTCGTTAGGCTATAACTCACATGAATAGATATTGATTAGTTAGAACCTATGGAGTAATGGCAACCCAATGCATAAAATTTGAATCTTATTTAATGAGTTTTGGCAATTAAAAGAGAAGTCATATTCGTGACCTTTTTTTGTAGTATACGAGGCAAAACTATTTCCCTTACAAGATGATATACTAATACCACCAACCTCAACAAAGATTGTGGTTATAGGCAGCAAGAACCAAGTCTAAGGCTTTCAAGTGCAGATATATTCGTGCCCTTTTATTTTCTCTTATAAACTCCAAAGTCTTCTACTCAATGGCGCACCACACAAATTTTTTGGAGAAAAAAAAAATATATATTTTGGGTGATGAACAAAAATCACATGATTCAATTTAATCTATTAAAAAAAAGTCGACTCGTGATCACTTTAAAATCTAAAACAAACCCATGTTAGTTCTTTTGAAGGATTAATGTGAATCTTTTTGAATTTCAGAGGACCATGATTTTAATTATCTAAGTCTATTTTTGAATTCTGAGGGATCACGAGTAGATTTTTTTTCCCTAAGAAATTAAATTGAGGCCCATAATTTTTGTTGAGAACCCAAAATGTTCTATTGTAACAGTTTAGTTGACTCTTGATTACTTTTTTATATTAAGTTAAAGTTTTTTTTTTTATATATATTCTAATACCACCAACCTCAACAAAGATTGTGGTTATAGGCAGCAAGAACCAAGTCTAAGGCTTTCAAGTGCAGATATATTTGTGCCCTTTTATTTTCTCTTATAAACTCCAAAGTCTTCTACTCAATGGCGCACCACACAAATTTTTTGGAGAAAAAAAAAATATATATTTTGGGTGATGAACAAAAATCACATGATTCAATTTAATCTATTAAAAAAAAGTCGACTCGTGATCACTTTAAAATCTAAAACAAACCCATGTTAGTTCTTTTGAAGGATTAATGTGAATCTTTTTGAATTTCAGAGGACCATGATTTTAATTATCTAAGTCTATTTTTGAATTCTGAGGGATCACGAGTAGATTTTTTTTTCCTAAGAAATTAAATTGAGGCCCATAATTTTTGTTGAGAACCCAAAATGTTCTATTGTAACAGTTTAGTTGACTCTTGATTACTTTTTTATATTAAGTTAAAGTTTTTTTTTTATATATATTCTAATACCACCAACCTCAACAAAGATTGTGGTTATAGGCAGCAAGAACCAAGTCTAAGGCTTTCAAGTGCAGATATATTCGTGCCCTTTTATTTTCTCTTATAAACTCCAAAGTCTTCTACTCAGTGGCGCACCACACAAATTTTTTGGAGAAAAAAATATATATATTTTGGGTGATGAACAAAAATCACATGATTCAATTTAATCTATTAAAAAAAAGTCGACTCGTGATCACTTTAAAATCTAAAACAAACCCATGTTAGTTCTTTTGAAGGATTAATGTGAATCTTTTTGAATTTCAGAGGACCATGATTTTAATTATCTAAGTCTATTTTTGAATTCTGAGGGATCACGAGTAGATTTTTTTTCCCTAAGAAATTAAATTGAGGCCCATAATTTTTGTTGAGAACCCAAAATGTTCTATTGTAACAGTTTAGTTGACTCTTGATTACTTTTTTATATTAAGTTAAAGTTTTTTTTTTATATATATTCTAATACCACCAACCTCAACAAAGATTGTGGTTATAGGCAGCAAGAACAAGTCTAAGGCTTTCAAGTGCAGATATATTCGTGCCCTTTTATTTTCTCTGATAAACTCCAAAGTCTTCTACTCAGTGGCGCACCACACAAATTTTTTGGAGAAAAAAAAAATATATATTTTGGGTGATGAACAAAAATCACATGATTCAATTTAATCTATTAAAAAAAAGTCGACTCGTGATCACTTTAAAATCTAAAACAGACCCATGTTAGTTCTTTTGAAGGATTAATGTGAATCTTTTTGAATTTCAGAGGACCATGATTTTAATTATCTAAGTCTATTTTTGAATTCTGAGGGATCACGAGTAGATTTTTTTTCCCTAAGAAATTAAATTGAGGCCCATAATTTTTGTTGAGAACCCAAAATGTTCTATTGTAACAGTTTAGTTGACTCTTGATTACTTTTTTATATTAAGTTAAAGTTTTTTTTTTATATATATTCTAATACCACCAACCTCAACAAAGATTGTGGTTATAGGCAGCAAGAACAAGTCTAAGGCTTTCAAGTGCAGATATATTCGTGCCCTTTTATTTTCTCTGATAAACTCCAAAGTCTTCTACTCAGTGGCGCACCACACAAATTTTTTGGAGAAAAAAAAAATATATATTTTGGGTCATGAACAAAAATCACATGATTCAATTTAATCTCTTAAAAAAAAAGTCGACTCGTGATCACTTTAAAATCTAAAACAGACCTATGTTAGTTCTTTTGAAGGATTAATGTGAATCTTTTTGAATTTCAGAGGACCATGATTTTAATTATCTAAGTCTATTTTTAAATTCTGAGGGATCACGAGTAGATTTTTTTCCCTAAAAAATTAAATTGAGGCCCGTAATTTTTGTTGAGAACCCAAAATGTTCTATTGTAACAGTTTAGTTGACTCTTGATTACTTTTTTTATATTAAGTTAAAGTTTTTTTATATATATATTCTTTTATATTTTAATATATTTAAAATTTTCTTTAAATTTTTTTTCTTTTATTCTAATTGTGCAAACATTAAAAAAAAATTCTAGGTCCAGTATTGCTTCTACTAGTAGCCCACTCGTAATAATACCTTGGGCATATTCGTGTCTACCATAATGTATACACCGGTGAATGTTATCGCTTCATCTTTTTCTTTTTCCTTTTTTTCTTTTTTTCTTTGTCATTGCTCACGTATGTGCTTACATGCAATGACTTTTGCACCCCATTTAATGTCTCCCCTGTAGAGCCCAATACTCGCAAATTTTATTAGGCTAGAATATATAATTATCCGATTAGATCATGGGATTTTGATATTTTTTAGCTAGACCCAGTACACATTGATTATAAGAAGTAAATTTACGTTTAGGGACCACCGGAGTGGACTTGACATTGACATCATCCCCAACTTTTAAGCCTTTTGACCTCCCTCAAAAGTCATTTGAATTATTTGCTGTACCTTTACCCAGCAACCAAAAAGTAAACATGTGCCAATAAGCAATGACACAATTGGCTAAGGAGTCGACTCATACATTTAAAAAGATTGGCTAAAGAGTCGACTCATACACTTAAAAAAAAGACGTGGGTTTAATTCTCTAGCTGATATGAGACTCTTGTTTGATGGGTGATCTATAAAGTGGGATTTTTTTTTTTCGCTGTCTTTCCGAAAATTCTTCTGGAGGTTGAAAAGTTTACCCTAATTCTAGTGAAATATACATATCTACTCCCACCTAAACTTTTTTTCTAAAAATAAACATGTTTTATCTTCAACCAAGAGCCACATGTCTCAGATTAAAAAGACAACGAAATTTACTTAAAAAACAAAAAGACAAAAAGAAGCAGAGTTTTGGATTACATCGAAGTCCTCGTTATTTCTTTTTATGTTAATTTTAGCATCATTATCTGTGAGTCCACCAAGTAACAGATAGTCACCATGCTCAAATAGGATAATTGTGAAATGAAACTGTAAAGGTCTGAAGAACAATTTATGATTTCATGATAGCCATGAAAAGCGCACACCAAATCCATCTTATTCTATTTCTTCCAGTTTCTATTTGCTTCTGTTGATTCATTCCGTGAATCAAGTGTAATAGGAAAAATGCCATAAAAATTTAGAAAACCATTTTTAATGCTTTGTGCTTCCCCACTTGGCAAGTGGCAACCAACAAGTATAACATATCACTTGTAATGCTCAGGCTTCAAGACACCAACGTAGGGCAAATTTCTATACATTTCGGCAAAATCCATTCCATAACCAACAACGAAATAATCTGGACACTGCATATGAGAAATATGTAAACACAGTCAGTAGATATCATTGCAACTTACGCTGCTTAGTAGTCAGAACATAGAACTATGGCTGCATTTGATTTACTAAAAAAAAGGGATAGCTCATCACACAAAAAAATAACCCTGAATTTTGTTTAATTGTTTAAGAGAAATATGTTTCTCATGTTGCATGAACATGCAACACACAAAAAGTGGGGTGAGACCCACTTTTTAAAAAAAATTCTCTCTTTTTAGTGGGTTTCATTTACGTTTTTGTGTGTTGTATGAGACAAATTATCTCATGCAACATAGAGAAACATATACCCCGCTGTTTAAATAAAGTCCCATGATATGCATCAAACGCAACCTTCATGTCAACACCAGAATCTAGGCACTGTTATTGCGTAATACTGAGATTCACGCTAAAATTGTCTAGGGAGATAAAGGAACAACTACAGCAGAAAATTAGAAAATTACAATTATCATAACTGCAGCATATCTACAATACACTTCCACCCCAAAGGTTAATTGGACATTGATACAAGAAGCAAGAGAGTTATTTTCTTTGATTTTTTAATTTTTTTTTAGTGGAAGTTAAAGCAAGTTCTGAAAAGTTTTAGGAAGCCCCTCACTCCTCAGACATCATGTTCAATTGCAACACCTATGACACATTAAATCAGAGCACATGTGGCATGTATTTGACTGCAGAAAAAAAAAATAACACAACCGAAAAACAAAAAACATGGATGAGTCCAACAAAGGGAGGAGCATCATACCTCAAAGCCACGGTAGTATTTCCCTTCACCCACCAGCTGAAAATGAACTTTTCTCCTTGCTGGTTTATCAAGGAAAGTGCACACAGAGACAGAGGACGCTCCTTTGGATTTCAAGTGCGCAATTACTCTGGATAAAGTATGTCCTGTGTCTACAATGTCTTCAACCTAATCATCAATCAAATCTTAAAAATTTAAAAGGTTCATACTTACAACTACATAAATACATACATGAGTTAGTTTTTTAGATCATAATTACAACTACGTTGCCTTTGATTTCAAATTACATCATGTTTTCGACCCATAAATATAATAAGATGGAATAAAATACCTAAAACAATGGTATGTTAATTTTATTTATTCCATTCCATAAAACTTAATTTCATTATATTACACATGCTATTATACCAATTTCACTCTATAAACTTGTTTGGATAAAGAAACTGATTGTATCTTTAAGAGTGGGATTATGTTGAGTGGAGTATAGTAAACATAGGTAAGAGGGTAAAGGGGGGGGGGGGGGGGGGGGGGGGGGGGGGGGAAAGAGAAAGGTTACCAAGATGACGTGGTGGCCGTTGACGTCAACCTTCAAATCGAAGGAAATGGTGGGTGCGGAATTGGACTCGGTTCCAGAACCGTAGGATTCAGCTCGGACGAAATCAACGGCGATGGGGAGGTCGATTTTGCGAACGAGGTCGGCCAAGAAGAGAAATGCGCCGGTGGCGACGCCGACGAGAACGGGAGGCGGAGACTCGGCGAGAAAGTCGGCGGAGATTTGGGAGGCTAGGTCGGAGACTCGGCGAGAGATTTGGTCCTCGCTCCAAAGGACTCTCTCTATGTGGGAATGCATGGTGGCCATTACCACACCCCCCTAACACACACACACACACAGAGAAGGGTTTAAGGGATATGTGGTATTACTACTATTGATTATTGTTCTTTTTGGAATTATACTTTGGAATTTTTGTAGTTGGATTCCTTCTCTTCTCATTTTCACACACATGACATGACACACCACCGACTATTTTACATTTAAATATTCAATGATTTTTGTACAAATTATATTTTTCATGGAGTTTACCCTCTCAGCGTTAAAATTTTGTGTTTTTTTTATTAATATCAAGTGAAAAATATTGTAAGAATCAAATTGTGTTACTATCCTTCAATCTCACGGTTAGATCGATTATATTGATCCAACGGTTATATTTATTTTCATCTTTGCATGGTTATGATTTTCCATATTTAAAGTGAAAGCATTAAATATGAGAAATCATAACCATACAAAAGTAAAAATAAATATAAAGTATTAAATTTGGGAAATAATGACCATACAAAGATAAAAATAAATATAACCGTTGGATCAACATAATCGTTCTAACGGTGAGATTGATTGGTAGTAACATGCTAATAACACAACTTGATTGTTACAATATCCTTCCCCTAATTTCAATAAATTTTAATTGTAAGGTGAATACAAAATTTTACCGTAATTAAATTACTTAAATTTGAATACACACCCTATTTTTATTGATCAAAGGTTACTTTTCACCCTAGTTAAATCTTATAAAAATTTAATAATTATATAATTCTTATTTTTATATATTTCAAAAGAAAAAATATTTCTGCAGTTAATGCAAATAAGTTATCTGTATTTATTTCAAAAACGATATCGTTTTGGTATTGAAATCTTAAAAAATTATAAATATAAAGACTATTATAACCCTGAATTAAATTAAAATTACAAAAACACTATGATTTCCGCTCCAAAACTACGTCGTATTGGGCTTACTGCAGATAACTTATCTGCAATAACTGCAGAAAAAGCGAACCCTGTTTCAAAAATAAATTTTAACATATATTTAAAAAGTATTAAATAATTTAAAAATAATATAAAATTTTATATAATAGAAGCTTTATCCAACGGGTGTAAACAAGCGTTGCCGCTTGTTTGAGTGAAAATAAATTTTAAAATATAATAGACTATGGTTTTTCTTTAGTGAGAAGAGCAAAATTTATGTTTTTAATATTGTATAACTATAACCTATATTGAAAAGTTCATCTCGTCGTTACTTAAAATGTAAAATTCGATCGAACGCTTATTTACAGCTAAGGATACTATCCAAATTAATTTGATTGCATGATATTGCAATCATTAGTTGAAGATGTATCTTCCAGCACCACCGAAATTATTGCGTAAGATGTGGAATAGTTATCTAGAATTTTTTCTTAACACAATGTGCAAGTGCAAGTGCAAGGTGGGGCAGGTAACGCAGTAATTAGACTTTACCAAGATATACCTTTGTGCTAGGATTAAAGGATAATAAGAACGGAGGATTTGATTTTACGAAAGGGAAGATTAAGACTAGCAGTAATCTGCATTCGACGGATGTAGAAAAGCCAATGACAGAGGAAGGATAATTGACAAATAACAGCAATTCAGAGTTGGATGGTTATATGACTAAGATAAAGTCAAAGGACTAAAAAATGTCAACGAACAATCAACCAATTCAAACTCCAAATGGACACATTAAAAAAAGTTCAGCGCTCAGATCGAATAAAGCTTTCTTTTTAAAGACTTTAGTCTTTGCTTTCCTTCAAGGCCACAACAGTGAGCAAAGACTAGAAGGAATATCCACCCAGATTCATATACCGTTGGGTTGCATCTTTACCAGTAGGAAGATTATTGACTAGAACGATTTAGAGTTCGTTTGTTTAAACTTTTAGAAAAAGTAACTTTTATTCCTTTCTTATTTTAAAAGTACTTTTTACAAAAGTAAAAATTATTTATATTTTTATAAAAATATTTAGATTTAAAAAAAAATATTTGGCTTTTGACTTCTGCTTTTCTTAGAAGTTAAAATTTTTAACTTCTGAAAAAAGTAAATTTTTGATTTTTTTTGTGACTTCTCCTTTTTTTAAAAGGAGACATCCAAACAAACTAAAAACGAGAAGTGCTTTTTTTCTTGAAAAAAAAGTAACTTTTGAAGAAGAAAAAAACTCATCCAAACATGCCTTTAATATCAACAAAAAGAAAAAAGGTGCTTCAATCCATGAAATCAATGTACCCCATTTTTCTATAATTTTGATGCAACACCCAAAATACTTAATTTATAACAATATCAGCAAACTGTAAATCCATAATTCGTAATTTGATACAACCAAAATAAGCTTTAAAAACTCGGGAACATGACAACGTTATAAAATACCTTTCATGCATCAGCTTGAACGAGGACTGCCTTTCCAACGTTTTATATCAAATCGGAACAAATTTCATAAAGCAGCAAAACTTATGCACAAATGATTCAATCAATTGACTACTGCTAATAAAATTATAATACCAGGCAGTGAACCTGGGTTGCATGCGCATTAACACCTGGGTTGGATTTTCCCAACCCAAAATCAGATGCACAAACAGAGAAAATTAATTACATAAAAATTGGAAAGAGAGGAGAACGAATATCTACCAAAATCCCAGTTCAAATAATATAGGTCTAAAGAAAAATTATTGTCAATGGCTAACAAACTAGATAATCTACTGCCAACTCAGTCCTAAATGAAATAATATCATAAAATAGTTTAAAAATACTAAAATGAAACTGCTAAAATGACTAACAAAACAAATCCTTGAATCCCTCTGTATCAACTCATAAATCAATAATCCTGCAAAAAGAAAATGTGATCCTGATAAAAATTAAAATGGCAGACCCCCCCAGAAATAATACTAAGCTCATTAATTTTCAAAAAAGTGGCTCACATATGACAAGATGCAACATATCTACCACAACAACTGAGATCACTTCATTTATTCAATGATAACGAGCCAAGCTGATCACCAACTTCAGATCCTGATGCAGCTTCACGAAGGACCTGCATTGCCTCAGACACCTTTATCTTCAGGTCCTCAGGAGATTCAATGAGATGAATTACCTCTGACTGGTCCATTTCCAGCAACATCCCCGTCACCTTTGCTGTATGTTGGTTTGATGTAAGGCGTTCCACAAGGGGATATAGATGTTCACCCAACATCTGAAAATTTTCAACAAACGTATACCAAAGATTACATTTCTCATACTATGATCATAATAAATTTAGTATAGCATCACGATCCTAGTAGTTACAAATTAAATTATCTGCATACATTATTGCAACCCTATTCCTTCCAAGACAAACGTAAAATGAGTGAAACAGTAATTTAGTCCTTAAAAATGTAGGCATGTGGCCTGTTTTTCAAATAGGCTTGTTTAGAGGCCCAAGTCTATTAGGCCTACCATAGGCCAGCCCATAGGCCCCCATAGTAAGTTAAGCCTATTTACACAGTAATATGAAAAGAGTTTGAATAATTTAAGGACAAAACTGTAATATAATTGAAATGAAGGACTATATTGTGAGTGACGGACTATCAGAGTCCTAAATACCCATATACTCGGAAATACACAGTTCCTACATGTAAAATTACCAACATATACATACCAAACGCTGATTGTCTGGGGTAGCAGAAGCCAAAGCTGAGGCAAGTGTGGTGGATGATGCTCCAGGACGCTGATTATCAATAGGAGCTGCAGTAACTCCTGAACCATCAAAGGGCATTGGCATGATTGGTCCCACTAGACCTTGAGGAACTACAGATGGATCCATGCCATTTCGACCATTAGCCATATATCTAAACCCATGATCGGAGTTTCGATGTAGCATCTGCTTTAAAAAATTTAATTGTTCTCAACTGTTATAAAATAATTAAAAAGATTCTTTATAAATAGCTCAAACCTTAGAATAAGGAACAATTACCTGATTCTGCTGCACCTGTTGAAGGTTTCCATTTCGTCGAACACCCATCCTCTGCCCAGGCTGACCCTGTCTTTGAAGGTGGTATGGCATAATGAAATTTGGAGCAACACCAGGCCGCATTCCAGGCAAGATTTGCTGCTGGAAACCAAATCCAGCAGGCTGTGGTGGTATGAAGCCAGGTGAGCCTTGACCAAAATACAACTGTTGAGGGGCAAGTCTTGGTGCCCCTGGATGATATCCAGGAATTCCTGCAGGCAGAGGTGCCATTCCCGCAGGTGCTCGGATTTGAGCAAAATGAGCCTGCATATAGTCAAGTTGTAACACAATCCATTAAGTTTATGGATAAACTCCTAAATAAACCAAACAATCATGACTTTGAAAAAGAAAAGAAGCTTTATCAATTTAACAAATACAATTGAAGCAAATCAACTTAGCTATAAGCTACAGCTACTTAATAAGGAAGTAGTCAGGATTTAAATCATATATGAACAGTGAGATAAAAGAAAGATAAAAGAAAAGCATCACCTGCAAATGAGCCTTCCTCTCTTCTTTGCGTTGGGCTACAGCAACATACAGAGGCTTTTGTCCAATCAACTTTCCATTCATTTCAATCAACTGAACAAAAGATGATAAAAAGCTCATTCATCCAATAAAAAGGGGAAACATGTAGTAGCTCAGCCACACCTTTTGAAGCAAAAGAAAAATTATGACTTACGGCTTTACTTGCTTCCTCAGGAGTAGAAAAGGCCACGAAACCAGACCCCTTGCTATGCCCATGTGCATCAAGCATCACCTAAAAATGGAATTTATAATTTCACTCACTCAAATAATAATAATAAAATGAACCAGTAAAAAAGGCTGATTTGATATATGAGGTACACTGAAACAAGGAAGTTGTCTGTGCACAAAAAGAGAGACATGCAATGAGAATAATTTTTAAAATACCTTGCAAGATGTTATAGTTCCAAACTCAGAAAATAGATCCTTCAACTTTTCCTCACTGAAGTTGTCGTCAAGATTTTTCAGGTATAAATTAGAACCTTGTAATTTCTCATATCTACTATTTCTTTCCTGCTCAAATTTGGCTTTTAGCTCAGCCTCTCTTTCAGCTTTTCTTTGAGCTCTCCCCACATATAAAACCTTGTCATCCAAGACAGTAGTTCCATTTAACCTCTCAACTGCATTTGCTGCTGAATCTGGACTTTGGAAATTAACAAAGCCAAAACATCTAGACTTCCCATTCATATCTTTCATAACCGTTGCACTAGTTATTGTACCATAGGGGCTAAATAGCTTCTTCAAGTCCTCATCAGTATATGTTTCAGAAAAAGTTTTCACATACACATTGGTGAACTTTGGTGATCCATTTGCATGTGTCCTTTCCTGGTGCCTAACAAAGAGTCCAACATACACTTGTTTATCATTAACCAACATGCCATTCAATTGTTTGATGGCATTCTGGGCAGCCTCTTCTTTGTCAAACTGTACAAAACCATACCCTTTGGACTGACCGTTGCTGTCAACAGCCACCTTACAAGAAAGTACGGTGCCAAAGGTAGCAAAAGTGTCATGTAATGCCTTGTTATCAATCGATGTTTCCAGGTTCTTAATGAACACATTGGCATATCCACTTTTCCTAATGCTTGGATCTCGTTGAGAAAGCATAATACGAATGGGTTTCCCATTCAAAGGAGTGAAATTCAGAAGCTCCATGGCATTCGCCGCTGCAACATAAGTACCAAAATAAGAGAAGCAACAAAAGGGACCAACAAAGCATATTAACAATAAAATACTAAATATATAACCTTTTTTGTAAAATGACAGATAGAGGTTTCCCATTTCAAGTTCAACCTAAGAAGGCTAGTACTTGATGTGAACTATCAAAACCTCTCACACCAATAGCTCATCCAAAGTGGCTTAAATTATTAATAAATATATATATAATTGCAAAAACAGACCAAATTATCTTTCATCCTTAAAATGGTTCCTTCCGAATTCACTATCAGTTGCAGTTATGATATGAATCTAGGAACACATCTAATGAATGAATAACATATATGTTAAAACATCAGCATACACTCAACCTCCTACCACTCAACCCTGCAAATGCAAATAAAATTCACTAAAATATCATTAGTTCAAAAAGCATTAGTCCAGTAAATCCATATGATCCCTATTTTTTTGTTCCTTTTTTTATTTGTGATTAATCTCTCCTTTTTTTAATTATAATAATAATGATGATGATAAAGATCAAAACAAAAAGTAACAAACATCAAGTATCAATTTCACCAAAACCAAACGTAAATTCACGCCAAGAACGACAACACGAACCATCTTGAGCATTGCCAAAGTTGACGTAAGCGTAACCGAGAGAGGATCGCTTGGCCTGATCCCTGCAAACCCTAATGGAGACCACAGGAGCCACTCGGTTGAACAGATCATAAAGCTGCGTCTCGTTCACGTTCCCCTCGAGATCGCCCACGTACAATGACGCATTCGAAAATGGCCCTCCTGCCAATGCCGCCGCCACAGGAGCGGTAGCCGGAGCCACGGAAGCCGCGGACTGAGCCATCGGTGAAGAAATCGCCGCCGCCATTCCCTTTTTCCCCGCAAAAAATTGAACAAAAATTTTCTAACAGTGAGAACGAGAAGGAGTAGCAACTGTGATTTTCTCAGTGAATGGAAACCTAGGAAAACAATAAATAATCAAACCCTATTTTTGTAATTTTGGGATATTAATTTTTTTTTCAGGAATTTTTTTTGCTTCCCTTGTTTTTTTCCTCTGAAAATAGGGAACAGAGGGAGAGGGAAAGGTAAGGGACGAAGAATTGGGTTTATATAGGCGTCATTTCGCGTCTGGAAATCGTTGCGTTTCGGGAATGATGACGTGGCTCCCTTTTCTTTCTTTTGTTTCAATTTTCAAACTATATTTAGAATTTATTTTTGATTATAATCATTTACAATCATATCTTAAGATATGTTGATTTTTTTCAATTAATCATTATTATTTATTTCGAATTAATAATTAATGAATAAATTTAATTTGTGAAAATCTTAACCATTGATTAACAGAAATCAACTGTTAAGATATGGTTGTAAGATGTTGTAAACGAAAATAGGTTATAAGTATAACTTTCTCCTTTTAGATGAGCACTAACAATAAATAAAAAAATATAGGTTGTTTTACCTCTCTTTAATATTATTAGATTAGAATTTTAATTAATTTTTATAAAAAAATTTCTTTTAAAATTTTGATTAAATGATACTGGAGAGTGGTAGATAATATAGACATAAAAAAAAGTAAGTCAAATAATATCTCATAAAAAAATAAATTTTTATTTAATGTAATTTTTTAAAGGAAAAATATTTATTCTTTCAGAGAATAATTATTTCAGTTAAAATGACTATTTTTTATCACCAAAAAATACTATAATTTTAATTAAAATGACATAATTTTATGTTCTTTAAAAAAGTAAACATTAATCACTTGAATAAAGTAAAGAAAAAAATAATAAAATATTATAGAGTCGTTTATTTATTTATTTTTGTTTTTTATAAATATGATAAAAATATTTGTCCTTTTAAATGACACAACTTATATCATTTCACTCTCACAGAGAGGTGAGACCCACATCTTTATTTTTTTTCCACAATCTCTCCCGATCTATCTTTTTCTCTCACTTAAAATGAAACAACTTTACATCCTTTAAAATGATACACACTTTTCTTTATAAATATATATATAACTATTTATTAAAAAATGAAATATATGTATTTTTCTTTTCTAAAATTTTTCATCCACTGTAGATTTTGGTAAATCTTTAGAGTTATAAGAAATATTTGCACAATTACTTTCAAAAAATTATCAAATTTAAAGGTGAATAAATAGTAAATTAAATCACTTTTAAGCTCGTTAACTCTTATATATAAGACTAAATCAATTGAAATTTGAAGATTAATAACAAAATTTAAGGTCGAGAAATTTAAAGAAATTAACTTAAAAATATTAATAATTAATTATATGAAATTATCAAAAAACATTAATTATAATCAATTTTTTGATTAAATTTTTATGTAATTAAATTATAATCAAGTCATAAATTAGACGCATTTCCATCAATATTTTCCCAGGCTCCGCAAAGGATATAAAATTAATAAAATAATTATTAATATATTATTACATAAAATTTTAATTGATAATTAATTAATTATTAACATTGATTGAGAATTTTTAATATAGTAATAATAATTGTAATAATATATTAATTATTAATTTCAATTATTACTATTTAGCATTCCGGTTGGCACATATCCCATTTTATTTAAATTCAATGGAAATTTTTTTAAAAAACAAAATAAAACAATATATTTAAAGGGTTGCAACACTGACCACTCTATTGAAAAAATGTTCTAAACTCAACCTTTTTATTAATTTTTTTTCTAGAGTAAGATTTAGGATTTAATATTATAATGTCTCATAGAATTGGGTTACCATTACACATATTTGTGGGTCTCCGTCAAAATGAAGAATTTTTTTGTGTTTGAATAGTTCTCAGCTGGTGAATTTGAATTCCATATTATGATAACAATTTATGTTTTGAATTTTTGTGCTAAAATGAGGCATGGTTAAATTGTTTTTTATGTTTAGGGATTAAGCCTGGAATCAAAGGACCTTCTATGGTAACAGTGGGTCTGATTGGTCTTTTGGGCGGATTCATGTTTGCAGTAGCACCATACAAGAAATGAGGCTTTCCCACAATTTATTATGTTTCATGTTATATGCACAAATTAAATGAGAAAGGAGAAAGAATAGATGAGAGAAAAAATATATAAAATAAACTATCCCTTTAATTTAATTTATGAGTGCATGAGATTCTCTCATCTTAAATGAGAATAATCTACATCTGTTATTTATTTGTATTTGTCTTTTCTTGGTTAGGATTTATGTTCCAAATTCTATTTGAACATCGTGATCACCAACAATGATGAAATGACAATTTTTTTAAAATTGATCTTACTATATCTTTCGTTGATTATGCTATCAATAAACTTTGCTTCTTGCTGTCACCATTGGGGTTCAATCATTTAATTTTTCATACTCTAATTTTAGAACCTGTTGGCATCTCTTTCTTTTTCTTTTCTTTTTTAAAATTAAAAACTACTTTAAGTTAAAGTTAAAAATAAAATAAAAAATAAAACTAAAATTATTTGGTGATTATATAAAGTTATTTTAATAGTTTTAAAAGAGAAAATAAATAATTTATTATTTCGAATGAATTATTATGGTAATGGATAAAATTTATAAATAAAAATTTAGAATAAAGATAAAATTGTAAAATAAATATGAGGAGTAAAAAAAAAGGCATACATCTTACCAAAAAAAAAGCTACTCACGGAGTTTTAGTGCTGGTTTATGAGGTCTTTTTTCAGCTTATATTCTCCTTATAAATAGAAGATAGATCAAACCGATTTTTACAAAAACCCTTATAATAAAATGAACTTTTTTTTATAACGAAGAAAAAAGTCAAAAGACAAAAGAGCTGATGAGCTTTTCTTAAGTTGTATCACCTAATTTTTAATTTGATCTTTTAAGTAACTTTTAAAATAAAAATTTTATATAATCATCAAACAATTTTTACCTTTATTTTTAAAGCTTTATTTTTTTAACTTTAGTTTAAAAATAACTTTTAGCTTAAAAAAAGAGGTATCAAATAGAGGTGTAAATGGTCTAGGCCAGCCTACAGCCTAGCCTATAATAGGCCAGACTTTGTCAATTACAAAATAGTAAAATAGAACAAGCCTAGGCTTTTAAAAAAATCTATTTCGAAAATAGACCGTAGGCTTTTTTCTGTATGTTGGGCCTATAAGCCTACAGACCGGCCTATATCATATTATTTATTTTAAACTAAATAAATAAATTATTATTTTAATAATTTTGAATAATAAAGTAATATTAGTTTAGTTATTCTTTTAATTGTTGAATGTTTAATAAGTTTAAACGGACTAACAAGCTTAGGCAAAGACTTTTATTTTTTAAATATAGGTCAAGTCAGATTTATAAATTATGGCCTACACAAGCTAACAGGCCAGGTTAGACCCAATATTTTTTACACAGGCCTGACTTATTTAAGACAAAGCTTAGCCTAGTCCAGCCTATTTACACCCCTCGTATCAAACATGCTCTTAACTTTTAACTTTTTTTTATTATAAAAAAAAAACTAAATATATTTGGCCAAACTTCTACTTTTAAAGAAAATAAAAACTAAAAAATAACACATGCCAAACACAGCCTTAGTGTTTTGATGATTTGATTGATTTAGTGCATATTAAAGTGCCAATGGACATATACCTCGTGTTGTATGAGTGTCTTGAAATTACTAGGAGTTTGAGTATTAACTATTAAGAGAATAATAAACAGTTGTATATATTATACCATATAAAAGGTAAATTATTAATCCCTATTTATATTCAATAGATCATAAAATAAGGAAATAATATCCTCGTTAATTTAGTTGTCTTATACATATAATTAGTGCTAATTTTAATTCATACCAATTAAGATTAATTGATATCAATCTACAAAAATATTAATAAATGATTAACATAATCTCTCCCCCAGTTAGATTCTCATTTCTGAAATCATGTCATCTTCAATATTTATTTTCACCTTTGTATGGTTATGATTTTTCATATTTAATGTTTTCACTTTAAATATGAGGAATCGTAACCATACAAAGATAAAAATAAATATAACCGTTGGATCAACATAATCGCTCTAACGATGAGATTGATTGGTAATAACATGGTAGTAACGCAACTTGATTGTTACAATATCTTTCCCCTTTTATTATATAGTTAAAACTAAAATATTTTTTTGTATATTCGTATATTCATGAAAGGAATTAACTTTATAATCCCGGGAAATTTGAAGGTTAGAATCTAATTGTGGGAGAAATATTGAATTGACAAAGGAAAAACGAGGATGAGATTTAAGGACGAGGAAGATAAAGAAAAAGAGAAAATGGAGGAAATTAAAAGATAATATGGCAGCATCTAAATCCTTTGGGGACGAATTTTGTGCCTACATGAAAAACATGTCATATGAGCATTGATAGCTTGCTAAATGGACAGTTAACATATTACATTTTCACATCCGTCAACTAAAATGGAACAGACTTGACAGTGAAACTAACTTGACCGGATTTTATCTTAGAGACATTATGGAATTAATTTTATTCTTTTAACAACCATTTTGGTGATTTAATCTAAGCCAAAATTGCAAAACTAAAATGTAATAACAGAAAAATTAACAACTTACAAAACTATCTTGTGCAGTTACAAAAAAAATGATTCAGAGTGGAGATAACGAATTTTAGAAATGTTATAATATAGGTACCTAATCTTAGAATTTTAGCTGTTATTGGCTTACCTTGTTACCCCAATGTAAAGTGGCTGTCATGTCAAGACTTTTAATTATCACGATTAATATCAGACTAAAAAATATGTTAAGATTTGACCTTTTAACCTGTATAAATTATCTGAATAAAGATTATTTCATCTAGTACGCAGAAGTGTGTACAATTACAATCTGAATAACTTTATGATAAAATGCAGATAGCCAGATAGGAAGCACCACAAAATTCAAGATATGGTTAAACATGCAAGTGGTACTAACATACTCTCTTATTCAGACGTTTAAACTTTATAATAAAATACAGTTATAGAGGGTAACTAATTGGGCATATAATAACACCAATGAAGTAAAGTCAACAATTACTGAGGATATAACTGCGTTTAATTTATTTCTTGGAGAACGACATCGTCCAGCCGCTACTAGTGTTTGCAGAGACAATTTCCAGACTACAATGTTCATTTTCTGTCTTCTGGTGTCACAATATCTGTTCAGGGTTACTTGATTCCTTTTTTTGGGTAATTATCAATGGAAATAAATGCCAGATGTTAAGCTTTAAAGGCAATCCACTCATAACTTTGCAAGAACATACCACATGATTTTTACATGCCTTTTGTTCATGAACATCGTTGTTATGTTGCCTCAACAGAAAGCCCCTTATATTTGTTTTCTGCCCTATCATAAATAATTATAAGTTTCTAAGTAAACTATAAACAGTAAGGCAGAGAGGTAAGTACACTACAACTAAAGGTTGGACGATTTTCATTATTCCGTTATCCGTTAAACCTTATAACAGTCTCAGTAAGACAGAGCACTACTTAAAAGATTCTGCCAGCCCAAAAAATGTTACTTTATACCTTTTTCAGTCCCAAATATAAACGTTCAAAAATCAAAATAAACAAGTCCTATATACTTGCCTGTCACCCTGATGCACTAAAACAAGGTAAGCAGGATCTTGACAAGATATCTGGAACAGCTGCCACACAATGTACACGCAAGTAGTAATGCTGAAAATTTGGAAAAGTAAATTACAGTCACCCACCAAAAATAAGATGTTGGAATTGTTAGAACCTAGTGAAGCACGCAGCTTATGCTAGGGCAAATGATTAAAATGATATATACATAAGTAACATGCATCTAAACAGATAAATATAAATCGACCTTTTCTTCTTTTATGCATCTTCTAGAATATCCCAATAATAAGTACTAATACAAGGTATAATGACATTTATATGACAATATATAAACCATACATTATTTTCTCAAGACAGACCAAAACTTGATAATAAAAATAGTTTAAATTCATGATAAAGGCATTTTCAAATGATAACTAGTTTTAATAACCAACCAATAAGCAAAATTGAAATTGTGAGAACTCACCTGCCAAAAGATATCAATAGAATTATCCATAAGACTGCACAAATCCAACTAGATTCTTTGTAAGCGACCCAGACCTGATATTTTGCAAATAGTTAGGATACTTACATTGAGACAAGAACAAGTGCACTGAATTTAAACTTTTAACATTCTTATAGAGTATTGATCTTAACCTTTTGTGCACAAATATTTTGACTTTGATTATCTAATAAAGCTCGTTTAGTGGTCAGTAATCAAATAGATCATTTCCAGAACTATTGACAATGAAATACTACTATGCCTTAAATTACTAAAATCTTTCTGCTATGACTCCAGATTATGCACTTGGAAGTCTTATACTGTTATAGATGCTTGGCTTCTCTGGGTAAACTAAAGCCATTACATGATTAATGTACTCTTATCTACATTTACCAGCTTTGCATTCCGCTTAATTGAAGAGTTCATGAGGCTTACATGGCATTTCAGTGAAAAAGTCACCAACTAGACAACCTCGTAATCCACCATCATAGTCTCTGCCCTAAACCCGTACACTACACAACCTTAGTTCTTTTAAAATCTGGATTTTATTTTGTCAAATTTATGTTAGAGGAAAATTATTTATTTCCTACTTTTTTTAACATATCCTGTTATATAAGCTGGGACAGGATAGGAATATCCAAATAAATTCTTAAACCAATTTAAACAGGTAAAAAGTTTAGTTTAGGTAGGAAGATTTTTGTGAGTTCCCTTGTTGGCATCCCTGGCTAGGCAGAATCACAGGTTCCTTTAAGGAAACATCTGATGTAGGATTTCAATCCTTGTCTATTCTGTTAAAACTCATACAATCAGTCCAATTCAGAATGGTGACCCAAGCAGGAAGGTGGACCTCATTCAGACATCCGTTAAGCACATTTTTGTTAGAAGCTGTGCGTTATCAATGAAACAGAAGTCTAACATAGCAATGCATCTCTTTGGTTGAAAATGATAAAGATTCTCAATCTATGGAATTGTCAGGCGGGTTCAGGGAAAGCCCGTGGCGAGGGACCACCACCAATAGGCTCAGCTACATCAGCCGTAGCAAGTGGGTCCGACACCACATCTCAACCCAAAACCTTAAGGCATTAGATTCATGGGTCCTTCCACTTATATACTCTTCACTTAACCCATTACCAACCAATATGAGACTCATCACACTTGAATATCTTAACAATCTCCCCCTCAAGTGTGAAACCCAACATTGATATGCTCTCCCTCAACCGAGTACCCCAGAGCCCAAGTACTCAATCTGCCTCCTAGCCAATCACTAGGCTAGCTCGAGCACAACCCGGCTCTGATACCAGAGTCAGGCGGGTCCAGGGGGAAGCCCGTAGCGGGGGACCACCACCAATGAGCTAAGCTACTCCAAACCGTAGCAAGTGGATCCGACACCACGTCTCAACCCAAAACCTTAAGGCATTGAGTTTATGGGTCTTTCCACTTATATACTTTTCACTTAGCCCATTACTAACCAATTTGGGACTCATCACACTTGAATATCTCAACAGGAATGACCTAAATATTCGTCAGGGCTTCACTCCCTATTCACAATCATCATGGATCGGAGAATATATGGAAGGTGTTGCTGCTATACAAGTGACTACTATAGGCCACAGCTACAGTGGACAGAACTTTATAGTAAGAATCATATGCTCTCAGCCTTTCTTTAAAGCTAACAGAAAATATATACTCTGCAAGAATGAAATGCAAGCAACTTAAATATGACAACTTGGAGAATGTAACTCCCATAAGTTTCCCTTGAGACTAATTCTCTAGAACGATATTTGTTTGAGTTATAAAACTTGAGAATATACTTCCTTGAAACATCAATGCTTATAACCAACCAGAATGCTAAAAGAGTGACATGTTATTTCAGTATAGAACAAGATGGCCAACTATCTACTACTCACCAATAAAATTCTGCGCATAAAATTTTCGAAGTTATATTAAAAAAAAGTGATTCAAAGCATATCATTGAAAGCCCTATTCATAATTGTTTCTTTAAATAGAAGGGTCTAACATCTATTTTTTGGACAAAAGCAAACAATTTTACATGCCTCCTTCAACATCAATTCTCCAAGTTAATGACATAAATTTAGATTTTGTATAATTTAGGACTGCTAGGATGAAAAAATATAGACATACTGCTAGGGCCACAACATTGATGTAGAAGTCAACTAGTGTTGCTGCCAACCACCTGCAAAAATTTCGGACTTTTTATATTTGCTTAAAAGATAAATGACAGGGTGCAGAAACTTAGAAGAAAATTTAGTCACATAACCATGCAAAGTTGTAAACATATACTTGAATATTTAGGAAAACTTTGGTGAATATTTAATTTAGGAAAGTGAAGATAAAAAATACCTTGTACTTCACAACTTTAATAATCAATGTGGTACAAGTACTTCTTTTTGTTTATTATTATAAAGGAGCAAGTATTTTTAGGCTTAATTATCTGTATTTGGATTCTACTGGGAGCAAGTCAGGTTCTAGCTTTCCAAAAAAGAGTAGAGATGACTACAAAAGCTCATAGAATCCAAAGATTTCAAATGCATTTACTTACTGTTGTCCATTTGGCACCAAAGTAAAACAATTGCCAGCATTCATCCACACACTCTGCAAATTTGTCCTAGCTTCTTCTTCAAACAATGATTTTTCTAAGGCCTAAGAAGGTTCATGGTGCATAATGAAGTACTTTATCTAAAGTGATGCCAGTCAATCACAATGAATGGCAAAGTTCCCCACCCTCCCAAAAAAAAAGAAGTAAAAAAGCATAGATGTGTCAAAAATAGATAAATTCAGTCAACTATATTTAGAAGATGACACAAAGAACATGGAATGCGAGTGATAATGAGGTTATGTATCTTTTCCCAGCTGAACAAGAAAAGCAAAGTTAAGTACTGTTATGGGAGAGGAATGCTCCTTCTCACAAGAAGAATTTCATGTATGATCCATTCATGTAACTCATGCTTATATCAGAAGAGTTCAATCATCCTTACGATGACAACAAGGATAGTGAGATCAAGAATAACGATAACATTAACAAATATGAGGAACTTACGGAGTTAAAAGCTCTGTACGGAAAGGAGAACCATCAGTGACAAGAGTGTACACCAAAGTCCCGAGCATGACAACACCCAAAATGCCAAAAAGGATTCTTAGAGTCACAACAAAAGAATGCTTTCTTTTTGGTTCTGTGCCGCTCCTATGTAAAAAGACTTATCAGGGTAAACAGAACCGATGACGAAAGTCGAGATTATATATAAAATCATGAGGAAGGTTATACTTACAACCTTTTTTTTTACAACCTCTTACAACCATATCTTAATACCGTTGATTTCCGCCAATCAACGGTTATGATTTTTGCAAATTAAACTTATTAATTCACAATAAATGATAACCGTTGATTGGCGAAAATCAACGGTGTTAAGATATGGTTGTAAGAGGTTGTAAAAAAAAAATGTTTACGTATAACCTTCCTCTAAAATCATACAGCAAACTAGATCATGAAATTGGATTCTCTAAATACCATCCAACACCTTTTCTTCATATATATATGTATGGAACTATTCAACATAACAGGAACAGTATACGCAACATGGATAAACATATCATAAAATTTACCAAGGAGAAAAGAAAAACATCAAGTTATGCCTTAAAATTCATAGATTTCACAAATCATAAAAAAAAAAAAAAAAAATTCCTTCAAACATCATAGTGCACCCATGGTTGTAAGACCCTGTATCATCATTTATTTGCTTCTTGGATATGAAGAAGACTTCTCAAACTATTAATCAAACTTATAAAATCTAATCATCCTCTTACTGAATAAAAGGAAGAAAATCAATATATTCAGAATCAATGGCAAGTGAATTCTCCATAATAACTAATAAAAGAGAAGATGTTGAAGCATAAGCTAGTTGGCAATTGAAGTGACACCATTAACCATGAAACAAGAAAATTGATAAAATTTAAGAAAAGAATGACAAATGTAGAGAAAGCTCGACTCTATAGTCGTGCTTCTGTAGACATACTTGTTTGGATGCCGCAACAGAACATAGTACATAGGATCCTGTGAAGATTCTTGAGATGACAGCTTCAGAAATTGCAAAACAATATAGGCACATGTAGTAATGCTGAAACAATTAAAAATAACAAAAAAAATGGTGAAAATAAATTAGCACTTCCGAGAATCCTTTAAATGCCCATAAACAATATAATAAACAACCCATAAACTCATAATCAACTTGAGTTTTAAACATAGGAACTTTTGCATTTTGATAATAATATGAAATCAGAGTATCGTTGCCACCTTCACCACAGGTGCAACAAATAACAGGAAAACAGAAAAGAAACTCTGGATCTATTTGGAGCTATATTATTACCAGACAGACAAAAGTACATAATTCACTTCTTCTCTTATCACAAACCAATTTAATTAAGAAATATGAAAATAACAACCATGTGATGTGACTTTCTTTCAGTATAACACACACAAATAACCAAGATTTAACTAATTTTTTTTTATACAAATCACAAAAAAAGTATGATGCATTATATAAATTCATTTCAAAGATGAAGTATATAGCATTATCAGATCCCAGTATCCACTTGGACAGTGCCATGCACATTTATATAGCACTGAAAGTGACTGTATTTTATATTAAAAAAAAGAAATCATGACATTTGATATGCACTTGTACTGTGCCATGCACATTTATGTAGCATTGAGAGCTATATTTAAACTAAAAATAAGAAAGCATAACATTTGGTTGGATTTTTATTTTATGTGGCAATTGTCGCAGAACAAGGTAATATAATTTGGTAAAATATCATAGAAAGAAGTATCGTTCATCTTGCTAAGAAGTTTATTCTCATAGATTATATAGGCTTTATATTAATACTTGCTCAGTTAAGTAATATTGCAAACATTACTATTCAATTAAAATAACATCAACTCCTAACAGAAAATGATACCTTCCAAGGCAAACAAGCAAAATTATCCACAGAATTGAGATGATCCAGTTTGATTCCTTGTAAGCAACCCAGATCTGATGTGATAGACAAATATATGTCAGAAATGATGAAACTTCACTCGAGAAGAGAATTTGACATATTATCAATTAAACAATGTTCCGCTAACCATTAGTCATGTTTTAAAGGAAATATGATTATAACTTTGAAAAATTGCAAGTGGGTTCTCTATAGAAGAAATAGTGATGCGGTTATATCGCAAAAATAACTAGGAAATATGGGTCTCCTCAACTGGACTTATGTTCCCATAAAGATTTATGAGGGCACATAGCACAAGTGATAAGTTTCCAGTAGAAAACAACACCAACCACTGAGAGGAAGTAATACAATTAAAATTCCAAATTATAGTACAATTCAAACAAGACATGAAATTGTCAACTTTATTTCTCAATCCAAGATACCGCACAACAAGATAAGTCTAGTGACTCAATCCTGCATTACATATTTTAAATAAGAATATTAAGAACTTTTGTTTGCAAAAGTTTATCCTTAATCATGCCCCTTTCTGTACATCTTTTGAACAAAATTAATTGCTTCCAAGCTGATTTTTGTATGATTGCGTCACTAAATATCTTTTTATATTCTGTCATCACTTAAGAATGAATTGATTCATCATTGAAAAGAAAAAATGATTTTCAATTGATTTAAAAAAAAAAAAGTGTCGTGTGTTGTCAATCTAAGTCTATCTAAAATACTAAAGAAGAGAAGATAAAAAAAAAAAAAAAAAAAAGGTAGTTGACTTACACCCAAAACTACAACGTTGATATAGAAATCAATCAAAGTTGCAGCCATCCACCTGAGTCAAATAAAAGTGGGAGAGAAAACATTGGTTAATTCCATAAAGAGAGAAATTGGTCAAATAAAAAAATAGAAAATAGTATAATACTGTGATCGTTCTATTGTATTAATAAAACAAACAAACAATGAACAAAGAAAACAGAGTAAATAATTCCCATGAAGACATGTTTTCATGATGTATATTGGACACGATTGAGAGAGAGAGAGAGAGAGAGATTACGGTGTGAGAAGGTCTTTGCGAAATGGAAAACCATCGGTGAAGAGAGTGTAAAGAAGGGTGGCAACCATGAGAGCTCCCAAAACAGTGAAGAGAGTTCTCAAACCAATTGCCGATGAAATCTTCGCCATTTTCAGTGTCAAAGGAAGTCAGAGACGGCACAAACACACAAAGTATAGCAATTGTAGTCAGAGAAGAAGAAGAAGAGAATGGCGCGCGGGGAAAAAAACATGGGGATGACAGAGAACCACGTTGCAATTTGCAAACAAGGAAAACAAATGATAACGACTGTTCATAACTAAATGAGTGAGACGTAAGTAAGGGATAATTTATAAGAAAAAAATTTATCACCTTTACAATTAATTCAATCACCGTTTATTTTTGTCAATAAAATTGTTATAATTTATTGAAAATAATAATTAATTAATAAATGCGGCTTAACAATTTCCAATAAATTATAACTGTTAGATGGACGGAAATCAACGATAATTAAGTTAATTGTAGAGGTTGTAAACTTTTTAGGTGATAAGTATATCATTCCCCAATTTATAATAGGAAAAAATATTTGTCTTTTTAAATGATATAATTTGTGTCATTTCACTATTATAAAGAGTTGAGACCCATAACATTATATATTTTTGTTCACTTTCTCTCCTTTTTTATCTATCTTTTTCTCTCACTTAAAATGACACAACTTTACGTCCTTTAAAATGACACATACTTTTTCCTTTATAATATTATTTTTAAATGAATTTTTAATCAAGTCCTCTCAAACTATTGTCTGACACTCCAACAAAACAAAGACTCTACAAAAATTCAAAGGTTACGTTGCATTGTGTTTTTAATTCTAATTGTTAGATTATGATTATCATTTTATTAAGTTTAATATAAATATTTGAGATATCTTATGTTTCTTTGCAAAATTGATAGGTATTATAAATTTAGCTTTTTTTTGTTAAATTATTGAATATTAAATATAATATATACTATATAAATTAAAAATATTATTTAATATCAAAACGTGTCCTAACGTGACAAAATCTAATATTTTTTAAAATTAACGTGTCAGAATGTCATGTCATGTCTCGTATCCCGTGTTGGTATCGGTTTTATATAGCTCTCAAATAAATAAAATCTTCACTTTCTTTTAAAAAGATTCTAGTATGTTTGTGAATTAATTGAGGAAAATGCTATATTTATAAAAAATTTATTTATAAACTCTTATAAATTATATTATGTCTTATTCAGATATTCTTGAATGAAATCATACTAAGTTTAAAATTTGGAAAAAAAGTATCTAATGTGACTTTAGATAACTTTGTTCATCGAAACGACGTCGTTTTGGAATTAAAAAATTAGAATGATAAAGACTATTATAATCCTTAAATAAATTAAAATTATAAAAACACCATGATTTTTGTCCTAAAACGACGTCGTTTTGGTGAACAATAGATAAAATTATCTAAAGTAACTTTAGAAAAAACAAACTCTGAAGGCTTTGTTTGGGAGTTGATTTTAGGAGGGAAAGAGAGAGTTTTAGAAAGTTCTTCCTTTATTTATGAGTTTAAAAAAAGGAGGGGAAGGAATTGGGATTTTTACTAAACCCTTCTTCTTCTTAAAATTAAAGTTCCCCAAATTTGGGGGATTTAGGGAAAAAAATATTAAAAATTATTTATCTACCCTTAGCATTAAAATGTGAAAACTACATAAATGTGAATCATTTTTAAATGTGACATTATTAGAAAAGTCTCAAATACCGACAGAATTCATCGACGAAAAATATTTCGTCAAAAATAGTGATAAATTTTTTGAGAAAAATCATATACGTCAAAAAAATTTCTGTCAAAATTAAAGACAAAATTAGAGACGAAACCAGATTTTGCCATAATCACTGACATAAATTTTTTACGGAAAAAAATTCAATCAAAATTATTGTTAGAATCTAAATTCCGTTAAAACTTTCAATGAAAATATTTTCATTCAAAATTTTGACGAAACACATTTCCATCGAAAAGTTTCGACGTAAAACAATTACGTCAGCATTTTTTACGGAACACATTTCCATCAAAAATTTCCTAAAAAAATTTCGACGAAAAATATTTCCATCAAAATTTGTGACTAAAAACATTTCTGTAAAAAATTTTGACGGAAATTTTTTTTGTCAAAATTCTTTATGGAAACTAAATTTCGTCAAAATATTTCACAAAAAATATATTTATCAAAAAAATTGACGAAAAATATTTCCATCAAATTTTTAACAAAACACATTTTCTTCGAAATTTTTTGACGAAAAATATTTCATCAAAATTCTTTACAGATTTAAATTTTGTCGAAAGTTTTCGACAGAAACATTTTCGTTAAACTTTTTGACAAAAGAAATTTCTATCAAAAATTTTTGACGCAAAATATATGGGTCCAATTTTTTGATAAAACACATTTCCATCAAAATTTTCAACAGTCTGTCAAAAAATTTTGACAGAAAATATTTTCGTAAAAAATTTTGACGAAAATATTTTGATAAAAAATTTAGACGAATAAAATATTCTGTCAAAATTCTTTACAAAATCTAAATTCCGTCGAAAGTTTCGAATGAAACATTTCCCTTAAAATTTTTGACAAAATAATTTTTGTCAAAATTTTTGTCAGAACACATTTCCATCGAAATTTTGAACGAAAAACATTCCATCAAAATTTTTGGAGAAATTCTTTTTTTGTTTAAAACATTTGATGGAAGAAATCATTTTCGTCAAAACTTTTGACGAAAACTAAATTTTGTCAAAAAATTTGATAGAAAATTTATTTTTGTGAAAAATTTTATCGGAGAAAAAATTTCGTAGCTTTTCGACGAAAAGTATTCTGACGAAAAAATAATTCTGTGACAAAATTTTTATTGTTTCCAACGTAAAAATTTCATCGAAAATATGATGTTTTTTAATATTGTGAAAAGTACATAAATAATTTTGTTAAAAATTTTAACTTTAATTTAATTTGTAAAATATAATAATTATATTTATTTTATAAATGAGATAAAATAGTAAAAATATCTCATTAACCCTCTATTTTTCTCCCTTACCATTTTTTTAACTCCCAACAAGGGAAGAGAAGACCCTTCAATTTCCTTCCCTAGCCCTTGGATCCACATCCTTCCCTTCCCTTCCCTTCCCTTCCAATCTCGCAAACAAAGCCTAAAAGTTTGTAAAAATAAAATAAAATTATCATTATAACCATCGTCTTAATAGAGATATATTAAACACATTAGTTTCAGTCATCTCCTTATGGGTGACCACTAGACATATCTTAGGCTATTAAAAGTTTTACCAAATATTTATACATAATTTAGTTAAATTTTCAATTAAGTCCCTATTAATTATAAAAACACTTATCATTAAGCACATGAAACCAATAGCAAAAATGCATAATATAAACTTTAACTTAATAGGAACATATTCAAAGGTTTTTTTATTTCTCGCAAGCATGTCAAATTAAAGAAAACAAAAACAAGAAATAAATTATATGTTTGATTATATTGGAATTTTTTTTCTTCAAACTATTTTGTAAAATAGTTAATAAAATATATCTTTTTTATATTTTGAAAGTTAAAAGTCATAATACAAAATAAAAATAATTCAGATATATTCCCTAAATTTAATTCTAAAAATTAAAAAAAAAAATTAAAAAAATTTACAAAACAATTATCAAATAGAATTTTTAAATTTTTTATTTTGAAGATTTTAAAAATTATTTTTCTAAACGCCTTTAGCCCACGCCAAAGAAGAAAGAAGAAAAATCCACCAAAAAAAGAAGAAAGTAAGAGCATGGAGGAAGTAGACGTTGGGAGGAAGGTTCGGGAGGTGGAGATTCACCTGTTCCGGCAGGGTCGGGGTCCCATAGCGGTGTTCAAGTCGAGGCTCGATGGTTGGGAGCAAAACCAGTTGGAGGTTCGGGACATTCTCAACAAACACGCTCTCAAATCAATCTTCGCTTTCAACCCTCAATCTGGTCGCTGCGTCCCCATCCGCTTCAACCCCACAAACGGAAGATCCATTTTGACTTACCGGAACGGTGCCGTTCTTTACATCGATGGCGAACCCAAGGTCTGTTTTCTTGTTTTTTGATTTCCCAATATTTAGAAACTGTTGCACTTTCTTTCTTTTCTTTTTTTTTAAAAAAAAATGTTAAAGTACCTAAAAAAGAAAAAAAAAGAATATAATTGATTGCAGCCCACAATAGTTATTATAAAAAAAATCTAAGAATACCAGTATGAACATTATTGTATTTCTAAATATTTATGATACGCGAGATGTGTATGCCTAATTAAAAAGAACTAGTTCATGTAATATTTTCATTTGCTCAAAAAATTTCCTTTTGCAGGACTCATTACTTAAACCAGTGACCAGGATCTTGGTTGGTGTAGTACTGATAGCTATTATGATAATGCTAGTTTCTAAGGATTCTCCAGAATGGATCAAGAAATTAGACATTTCGGGTGTAAACTTCCCTCCATTGATCTTGGCTTGTGTAGTTATTGTTTTCACCCGCATGAGGAAGGGAACCAAAGATTTTCTGAAAAGGCATGGTTGGTGAATATGGACGGGGTTGATGCCTTTGAGATAGGTTTTCATGTTGTATCATCATCAATGTTCATGTCTATATGTATACTATTTCGCTTTTTCAATATTGTTTTCTATGCTCAAAAGCATATCTGATTATAGTGGAAAAAAGATTTGTGTTTTGTCGAAGCTTGCATTGGGAATCTTATAATATAGCTAGTATTACTTCATTCCGATCATAACTACAAGCACAGAAGCTGTTAATTAGGGAACAATTTAAATAGAGAATCATTAATAAGTATTGCTGTTGATATTCTTCCTAACAAATAAAGATTTTCCGGCCACCATATTCCCCCTCCAGGTTCATTTTCTGTGAGCTTGATGATTAATTCAGTCTTGGTTATTGATGTTTAATTTGGCATGTGGAGGAAAAGCAAATAGGATCAATAATTACAGAAAGGACAACAGAAATTTCCTAGGACTGATGATGACAAGAATTAAAGAGAAATTCTTAGATGCATCAGTGTAATTGCATAACATCACACCATTCAATTTGTGTCACATCAGTTATGGGGGCAAATATTGTCTCTTGTTTTAAATATCTCATTCAAGTTTTCATTGTTAACTAAGGTTGGTGTTTTGAAGTTGTCAAAAGAATTAATGGGATGGTTAAGTTGTGGAAAATGATGGCTCCCATGGATGAAATAGATGATGTGACACATGTTGAATGATATATTGTGACTTGTAAGAGATTGTTCTTACATATGGTGTATCTAAGAATCTTTCAAAATTTAAGCATTACTGCATTACATATGAACTGAAATATAATATCAATACATATTATCTATTGCTTTCATTTCAACATCTCTTTCATGACAATGGGGATCTTTTGTTTATCTATTTTTTTTTCTTAATTCTCCCTTTGCGATAAGAAATTATCATCTAAGATAAGAACTTGATGCAAGAATTATACTGTGTAAACTGCTAGTTCTACGCATCCACAATCGGGCATGCCTACTTCAATGCAACAAACAATGAAACCCACCAAGCAAGCATGTTTCGATGAAGCTCAGAACTTGCGTAGGCATTAAGGGAGAATGACTCCAAGTTGTTTGAGGTTTTAATGAATAAATGGCTACAAAATTCACACGCACAACTTAATCTATTTAAGTTTTCATGTAAAGTATAATCGTTATTCTTTTTATCCTAGTTAAGAGGGATTTATAAGTATGCATTAAGCCATTAATTTTTATTTTATGTCAAACGGAGAAAAGCATATCTCCTGTACATTTATCAAAAATCTCGTCTATTTTTTTTTTAAAAAATAAAAAATAAAAATAGTGAGTCTCATATTTATTGTTTCTGTTGCATGAGAAAGCAAGTCTCCTACAACGACAGACTTGTATTTCCCTTTTATGTTATATATTAATGGAAATAGATTCTCTCATGTTAAAAAAAATGACATAGTCACGTGAAAAAATCATAATCATACAAAGATGAATTAATGGTTATAATTTTGTCATTACCAATTCTAATATTTTTTTTTTCTCTTTCTTTATCATTATTGATCTATTTTTATATGGTTATGATTTTTTATATAACTGTGAAAGAATGTAAGCCCTATATTAATAGTAATTTCGTAATTAAATGTAGAGACTAAATTACAAGTTATTCCTAATTTGTTATAGGATTAGTTATTATAAGATGGGAAAAGTATTTCCCAAAACAACGAAGAGTATTTTGAGAATTTTACCTCGCTTGTTAAAGAGTGAAAAATAGAGAGTTGAATCCAAGCCACATCTAGTTTGAGTGTGATAAATTCTCGTTGGCTATAAGAGATATCCAGCAAAAACACTACACCCTAGAGAAATTCCATTGTTTTTTTTTTTAAAAAAAATTGATGAAATTATACCTCCGTTGTTAAAATCTTTGAAATTATTGTAATTTAAAATTAATGCAATTTTCTGAAAGGATTGTCAAACATAATTCACCAAATATTGTTTTTGATATTGAGTGAGACAATTTATCTCATGCTTTTACATGTTAGATGAGATAAAATATCCTTTCTCTTTATACGGGGTTTGATTTTCTCAATTAATGATGAGTCCATATTTTAAAAAAAAAACAAACTTTATACGCAAATAATAAGAGTCAAAACATGAAAATTAATTGTCATAAAATGTTTTTCCTTTATATATACGGCGAAAGTTTTGGTTGTGACTAGGGTGTAAATGCGCTGGGCTGGGTCGGGCTTTGACCTTCCTGGCCCAAGCCTACATCAATAAAAATTCAGCCTATCTGGCTTACTGGCCTATTAAAGGCTTTATTTGTAGGCCAAGCCCGGCCCATTTTTAAAAATAAGAAAGCCTGACATGGCCTACAGGCCTTATAGGCCTCTCACTGTAGATACTAAGCAAAAATAATAATAATATAGAGTAAAGAAAGTTTCGTTCATGCATGCACTAATACTTCTCATAAGAAAAAAATGACAAATAAGAAAGAGTCAACATAATACCCCAGCTCTAGAATGTATATCATAGAGGAATAGAGTCAAAGAAACGAGAAAAATAAGAAAAATACAATTACTGGATGCTGAAATAAAGTCTATAAGAGAATATTATTCATCTAAAAATCTTTAAACCACCATCAAGACAAGGGAAAGAAGAGTATTATTGAAAGATCATCATCAGTAACATTATAATCCAACAAGGTACTCATTGCTCCATGGTATTAAGCTGCAACAGCATGTAAAATTTGGAGACATTAGACAAGTTTTCCTTTCATAAAATAAAATAGCACAAAAAGTAAGAGATATTAGTATTTGGTACTTTGCGTCTTTGCCACATAAAATAAATATTATTTTATTTTAATAAATTAAATAGGTCAGCCTACAAGGCTGTAGGCCGGGCTTGACAAAATTGGCCTATGACCTATTTGTTAAAAAAACTTTTTTATAAGCCTAAGCCTACTCTACTTTTCTGAAAAGCTGAGTCTGGGTCGGGCTCAATGTAGGCCGTAGGCTGGTCTCGCCTGTTTACACCGCTAGTCGTGACTACTAACTAGACGGCTGCTTGGGGAAGATCCTATGCTTCGTTTGTGTTTGGATTTATAAAATTTGAGAACAAAACCAAACAAGCAGTGGTTGTTTTCCATTTCATTACAATTTGAGGTTCAAAAGTTGCACCAAAGCTGTTACAAGCACACTTTAATAGAGTGTTTGTGTCTTGAGCATGGCGACGCAACTGACCGGTGTCGACCTCATAGCTAGCTTGCAAGCCAGGGTCAAGGTATTTTCTTTCAACGTCGATTCCAATTCCAATTTCAATTTCTTCTCTGAGAAAATATGGGGAAAAATAAATTTTCAGGCAAATTTACATGCCTTTCTCAGTGGAATGACTTTAGGCTTCTGCTATTGAGTCCGCGTTTCTGGAAGTATATATACCCTTTTGCATTTTTTGTTTCGGGAAACTGAAATCACCTTGAAAAGAAAAATCAATGAAGAAAAGATGGATTTTTTATGGGGAAATATTTTCCTTATGTTTAGAAAAAAAGTTACCTTATGCTGTAGAAGGTAAGACCAGAGAAAAAAAAGAGTGGTATACCTTTTTGTATGGGTAGAAAAGTTGTTTATCTCATGTAAGAGATAAACATAACCCTTTTTTATGTAGTTTCTTTTGGACCCAATTGGAGTTCAGGTTGAATTGTGAGATGAACAATAACTATGGGTTGCTTTTCACGCACTTTTCACTTCATTGATAGACCTTGTTACATTCGTTTGTAAGGTTTAGGTGGTTTGCGTCTTGGATGTGTGAGAGTTCCAGATTCCCATATTTGGTGTGACAATTATAAATCTTCAAAAATTATACATGGGATACTGAATAATGTAGAGGTCTGTTGTTTCTCAAGCATCCTATATTTTTCTTCTTTTAATATGATACCAATGTAGGTATGTAAGATATGGAGTATACTGGCGTGAAAATGCCAGCATGTCAAATGCCCCCTTAAAAGCAAGAGTGAAAGTAGATGTGATTAAATGTGTTAGTGTTACTCATGACTTTATTAGTGTTTGTTGTTTAAACCTGACATTCTAGTCCGCAATTTAATGAATTGTGCTCAAGGTTTTGCTGCTATTGTGTTTAGGGTTTTATCTGGGCCTAATCCAGTTTACTGCTTTCGATGTGGTTTTCCCTACTGATTTGTGATTCATACAATCAGGAATTAGAAGCTGATAATGAAAAGCTATTAGCTCAACTTGCTGATTGCCAGTGTCACGAGGTTAGCTTGTAAATTGTTTCATAGTTTTTAGCATTTTTTGCTCTGTTTTATCTCCTGGGCTGTTGGAGCACAGTGATAGTTTTCTGCCAGGAAAAATTAACCAAAGAAAAAGAAAGAGGAAGGGAAAAAAAAAGGTCTCAACTGCATTCTTCAAAGAAATTTGTGTAAATTTGTGATGCAGATGGAGAAGAAACTACATGGCCCTGATGAGAAAGACACAAAATCAAAAGAAGGCAACAAGAAATCAGAAGAGAAGATAGAGAAAATGCCAGGTTTCTTTTTCTCAATGTTTTTTTAGAGGATTAGTAGTGGCACCTGTGATGAGGGCGTTAAGAGAAAATACTATTTTTCTTTTAAACACATGATGGCACAACAATTCTCTCTCTTCTCTAAACTTTATTTTCAAAATCATATAAAAATTGATATTATAAGCTTCACTTTCTTTTCTTCAATTGAAAGTCCATGTTGTGTTTGATGGACTTTTTGATTTCAGTGATTTCTTGATTTACATGCTTACTTTGTTTCTGTTTTTCAGCTCCATCTGGCCCTTTTTTTTTTTTTCGGGGTCCTCTGTTCAGTGTACATGGTTTTCCCTCTTTCACATATTGTAGCTTCTAATGAAATTTAAAAGACAAAGGAACATAATTTATTTTTTAATCTTGTGAGAGATATCAGTTAAGCAAAACAGATTGGCATATTTAAATTAGCTTCTACATCGTGATACAGGCTATGACACGAGGTTCATGAGTCATCATAGCAAGAGATATGTAGCTTTAAAAGTCATGTACTTTGGAAAAAGGTATATACTATCTCTATTTTATCTGGCTTTGTTGTCTGACTTTGCAATTTGTCTCATAGCTTCTCAGTTATCCTGAGGTCGAGAGTTGAAGCCTTGCACCCCAGCCTATATATTTCCACACCTAGTGGTAAAAGGCTTTTGTAGTTGTTTTCTGCCTTAACAATTTCTGCTGAGGTGCTGGTCTAGACTCTATACTGAAAAGACAGATTTGAATATTTTGCATAATTTATTTTCTTTAACGCACTCAATAAAACATGATAGAATTTTGATATTTCAAGATCATGCTACAATCTTTCAATTATAGATTTCTATTTTAATAAGTATTTATGTATCTTCAGAGCTTGCGTTGGGGATGACATTTGATAGATCCTTAATAATGTGAAGTTCCCATGATCAATTAGTTTTTCCTTTAATTGAATTAGATGTTTCTTGATTTTTTTCCTTCGTATCATTTCACTGTTTTGTTTATTTATTCTTTTGTTAATTATTGAATTAGAAGTATATAATTCCGTGTGATAATTAAGGTCTTCTGACTATATGCTAAATACAGGTTCTACGGTTTTGCTTCAGAAGCACAAATGGAACCAACAGTTGAGGTTTGTTTTTTTCAAAGACAAACATGCCAGTAATTCTCAAAATCTGCATAAATTGGTCATGAGTACTGCAGAATTTTCCATACTCATCACAAATTATTACTCATGCTGAATGAAGTATTATGTTTGTTCACTGTGCATAAAGTGTTGCAAAATCATTGCATAGAATTGCATATGAATGCCTCTGTTTTGTTTATCATCTATCATTTTTCTTGCAGTCTGAAATTTTTAAAGCTCTTGAGAAAACAAGGCTATTAGTTGGTGATAAGAAGGGGTCACAGTATTCGAGATGTGGGAGAACAGACAAAGGGGTTTCCTCTGTTGGACAGGTAAGTTGATGCAGAAAGGAGGGAGAAAGAAAAGAGAGAGGATGCTTTCTATTAGCAATGACCAATACATGCATGACATGATTAAAAAAGCTGATAGGACAAATTAATCTTTTCCATTTTTGTATTAAGTCAACAATCATTGTGCTGCTGAAGACCTATGGCAAATGTATTGCAAGATAAGATGAGGTACTTTTGCAGAGTTCCTCATTGGAGATAAAGAGGACTGGGGAGGAAATTTCTAAGCAGTTTAATATATTTACAATTAACATTGAGACTCTTTACATTTTGAGAAGACCATTGTTCATTTAGATCCTTCTTCGAATTTCTAACTTAATCCCCAAACCATGAGAAATCTCCTTAGAAAAGCCCCTTTGGAAAGCCTCTGTTCAGTTCCTTCTAAGGTTAAGTCTTTCATCTGGACAGAAGTTCTCGTTAGGATTAAAATTAATACTAAATTGCTATTGATATGTTGCAGCTGCATAGACCAAACATGGCTTTATATCTACACATATGCGTGTGATGTGTTACTGTAGGTTTGAAATGGAAACATACTTATGCCTGTGCTGTCTAGATGCCAGATACACTTGTAGGCTGTTTGGCTTGTTTGGTGAATCTTGGGTATTACCCATCAAAACTTGAAGCCTTTTCTTTTCATTTAGTTCAGGCTTTGGTCAGAAAAAGGAGCAAAAAGTTTGGTGGCTGTGTGCTTTATATGCTAATGGAACGATATACACGGATCTTTAAGGAGCTCATACATGGTTTCTTGTAGGGAAGAATCCCTTTGGCAGATATACAGAGGGACTAGAAAGCTGTTCTGTTTTAACATATTTTTTTTTTGTGTTTTATATCTTTTCATTGTAGTTCTAGTTTGGAAGATATGTATTTCCCTGTTCTGTCCCTGTACTCCTTTGCTCTTTCTAATAGAATCTTCATTCATCTAAATAAAACAATGAAAATTCATCATGCAATCCTTAATAATTTATAGAGTAAACACCCTTTTTAGTCCCTGGCAATATCTACGGAGTCTTTTTCAGTCCCTGACAATAAAAAAGGACCAAATTGGTCCCTGAAAGTACAAGAAAAGGGTCACCCTACATATTTGGAAGTTGACATAAGGACTAACATGGCCCTTTTTTTGTAACTTCAGGGACCAATTTGGTCCTTTTTTATTGCCAGGGACTGAAAAGGACTTCGTAGATATTGTCAGGGACTAAAAAGGGTGTTTACTCTAATTTATATTGTTTGGAATCTTTGTTAATGGACATAAAGTTTGGAAAGTTAATTAATTGTATGAGGCAGGTATGTTATTGTTAGGAACCAAATCCAAAACTCCAATATTAAAGGAAACAACAGCAATTGGAATTCGTATTTCAATCAGAAACAACTCATAAACAATCCAGAGAGTTACAATGAATATGAAAGATTACAAGAGGACTGAATTAACAAAATACTGAATCAGAAAATGAACAAGATGAAGATAGATTCAGAAGAGTTTGAGAGCTTCTAATCTCTCCCAAGAGCCCAAGTCCCAAATTCCCAAGATGATTCTCCTCTTCCTTGCTTCCCCCCTTTCAATCCCTTGCTCTAACCGTTTTCCATAACAAACTTCCCCTCAGTCCTCACTAATGAGTCAGCAGCTGACTCAGCATGATGGAAGTTGAGGGATAGTAATTCCCTGAAATGCTGCCTATGATACACTTTACGCTTAGGAGAGGTGTTGTATCAGTTATATATCAGCATCAAATTTCTAATTTTAGTTTCCACTACGGAGCATCATGTAATCTGTTAATTCAATATTTAATTGGTTTTGATGATGGAAACATTTTGAAGCAGGTGATAGCTCTTTTCCTGAGATCAAACCTCAAGATATCTAGAGCAAATAATGGAAGTTCTGGAAAAATTGTTTTAGAAGAGCAACACGGTTAGCAGAACAATCTTTTGAAAATAAATGAGATTAAGCTTTTTCTTTGTTTCTTCTGATTTTCATCATATATTTTGTTTTTGATTGACTTATTCTTTTGCCATATCCTGGTTTTTTCTTGTCATATACACGCTGGTATTGGTTTCCATGTTTGCACACTTATGCATGATAAAGTGAGCCGGATTAAGCCACTAGGAGTGGGTTATGGTGAGGAGCTTGGGTAGTTTGCATGGGGTTATAGGTTTAAAACTCAGTGCCACCATTGTATCAAAAAAAGAAAGTGAGTCGCATTAAATAAATGAAATGAGTTACAAAATAGACATGTACTGGTGAATCTGATATTACCATTAAATAATTTATTTCATAATTTTCCCCCAAAAATTTATATAATAACTTTAGAACTTAAATTGAAGTTCTGGGCATGGGACCAAACAATATAAATCTGAATACAATATTAGTTGTGGTATTAATATTTTGATATGAATGACATTGTGTTGTGTTGTTGTATTTATGTATCAATTTTATTTCCCCCTTTCTCTTCTTCTGTCCTCTATGAAAGATTAAAGTTCTCGGTAACATTTGTGCAAAATATGATCTAAAAAATGACCGACTACATTTTCTTAATGCTACTATATAATTAGGGAAGTCCTTTCTCTGAAATTATAATTCTAACATGGTTTCCAAAATTCAGCTTAGATAATAAAATCTTTTTTATTCCCTGGGGGAAGTGGGTAAATTCAGTAAAGTAATGAAATTTGAGTTTCTCATGATATTCAGATCTTTATTTCTCGTAATATTTTTTTAGGTTTGAAGACTTGAATTTTAATTTGAATAATGGTAAAAGGGCTGTGGTTTTGTACAAATCCATTGTCATCTGGATTGCAGAGAGCTATGATTGAAAATCCATTATCTTACTATTATTATTTGACATGTTGGAGCTTTCACATTTTCCATTTTATGGTACTATTATTGACAGTTATGCGATACTGACCACCGCTGAGCAATGGATATTAGGCCCAATAGTTTTAAGTATGAAATTGACGTCATATTTGTTTCAGTCTAAAACACCAGGGCTTGAGGTAGAGATAAAAGTTAAAACTTAATGTTTGGAAGCTGTAAATATGGTTCCAAAGTGATAAATAATAATTCTTTTTGGGTTAGCTAATTTACTGCCAACCTTTATTTAAGGTAACTGAAGATATTCAACTGTATAATACTAGTATTAATATATCTTGTGCCTAAAGTAGATATCAAGAGGATTACTTGTTAGGTAGATTTTTGCTATAGGTTTGGGGCCTAAGCAGGTTGTAGGGTATTTATTGTTCAGATTCATGCCCGTTGAATTGTATATTGCTGATGCAAAAATGATGGAGGTGTCGTATAGTTTTAGCAAATTATAAATGTAAATACAAATTTGTGATAGTTTTTGGCAGTTTTGTAATCATCAAAGTCATGATTTTTACTGTTTCATATATCCTTTATATCATTTGAATCTGTTCGGAAAATTATACAGATCTATGTTCCTCTTTTCATAAAACCAATCATTTTTTTCGTAGAAGGGGAAATTGATTATGTGAGGGTGCTAAATCGAGTCCTCCCAGATGACATTCGAATTTTGGGCTGGTGTTCTGTTCCTCTCGATTTCCATGCAAGGTTTGTATGCAGTCTTTAAAACTTTGCTTTCTAATATGATGATCAAATTATAAGAGAATAGTGATAGCAATGAGCAACACTGAACACGGGTGTAGTTAATTAACAAATAATTTTTGGCTGCAATGGGTCCCTGCTAGATTTTGTTTCCTTCATAAATTTGAAGCAACTTAAGCAGAATATATATATATGCTCAAATATGTAAATATCTTTATTTGCAGACTGATCTGGTTTGCAAGAGGGATCTCAATATGACATGTAGTCTTACAATAAGGATAGCCAACGTTTAGTTTTGCTATTCCAGGTGATGGTTAATATATAACCCAGTATAGTTACAACTGAAAGTCCTTTGAGTGCTTCAAAACTATAACATTAGAGAAAGTTAGAATTTTTTATTTCCTTTTATTTTTAATATTTTTTTTTAGGGTTTGAATTTTTTAGCCTGTTGACAAGACTGTTGTTTTGATAAGCAATTTTTCTGAAAGCATAAGTTGATTTTGAAAGGGCCAGATAAATGTATAAGGAGCTCGGCACATTCTAGCTCTTCCTTTCATGGGCAAGTGGATTATGAAACAGAGCAGAAACATTGAAGGATATTATAGACTAGAATTAATACTTCTACTAGATATCAATTCAGTCATCTCAATAGCTTAAGTTGATAGGAAGTGGGTTTGATATAGTAAGCTAAACCATGCTATTCTAGGTGAAGGGTCCAATTAAATGGTTAATTGAATTTTGAGGTAGGGTTGTGATGCAAGCTGAACTGTTATTAGTATTTACTAACCTTCATATTGCAGAGATCTTGCAATAAAAGAAATTACTATTAATTAGTTAAGCTTGATATCTTAAATTATTCTATTTTGTTATCATGTTCCTCGTTTGCTTTGTCAATACAGGTTCAGCTGTTTAAGCAGGGAATATAAATATTTCTTTTGGAAAGAAAATTTGAATATCCTGGTAGGTAAACCATTTTCCTTTGCAGTTTCCATAAATTCTTGAATGTTGATTTGTCTTTCTTTTTCTCCTCTCTGTCTCCAATCATATCAAAGATTTGATAGGCATGTGAATGGCAAACACTTCTAACTGGTTTGTGTCCCATTAGGCCATGGAGAGTGCCGGAAAGAAATTTGTAGGAGAACATGACTTTAGAAACTTCTGTAAAATGGATGCAGCAAATGTGCACAACTACAGGCGGCACATCACATTGTTTGAGATTTCTCCTACAGATGTGAGGTTAAGATTGGTAGACAATTTTTCTTACCCTTATGCATGTTTTTCTGTGAGTTCATGTTTGCTGGCAAGAAATATGTAGGAAACCAACACTTGAAAATTTATGTAAACTGGATGTAGCAAATGTGCACCCCTATTGGTGTGCTGTAGCTTATCACAATATCAAGATATTGTGTACTGATGTGGGTTAGGATTGGTGGAAAATTATCCTAACACTTTTTTTTGTTTGTGTGTGCTTCTGTATATGCCCTGGGGCATGATACTTGGTGATTATGTGTTTGAGAATACTTGAGTCTATGATTTCTTATTCTACTTCATCCTTATGGGAAGCAAAGGTGCCAAATAATGGCCTGAACCCAGTTTCCATTGTTTGTAGCTGACAAATGGATGATTCGGCCTGTATGAAAGTTTAGGATTATCTTTTTTAATGCTTCTGGTCAGCAATGAGATATTCCACCAGTAGAAAAAAAAAACGTGTGGAAAACAGATAAAACAACTGACAGAAGTTAAAAGGGGAAAAAACCGTACACAATTTCTATGGACAGAATAGCTAAAAGAAAAAATAAGGTTAGTAGTTTGAGTAAAAAAAAAAATCAATAGGTTAGGATGAATATTACCTGTTTCATTTCAGAATTCAGAGTTGTAATGACTTTGTCTGTTAAAAATTTTGCCTGACTAAACAGCTGAACCTGTATTGGTTTGGCAACTGGGATTTAAGAAGGTGGAACTAGAAGGAGATGCTTCTGAAGTATTCTCTTTGCTTGCTGATAGCAATGCAGCTTGTCAGCCTCGTATAGTGGCTAAGATACAAGCACTCATCGGTCAGGATTGGGAGGTAACGCTTTCTCATATTCCAAGAGAAGCTAATTCCTGTGCTGATTGGTTAGCCAAGTCTGCTCTTCACAAAGATACTGGATTCTGGAGTCATAGAGTTATGCCATTTCACCTTGCTCAGTTATTTGATCACGATCTTCAGGGAATCTCCTCTTGTAGGGATATAGACCCTGGATAGTTATTTTTTGTTTCTGGTTGTTAGTTAGTTTTTGTTTGGGGTTTCGCCCCTTAATGTTATCAAAAAAAAAAAAAAAAAAAATTTGCCTGACAAGAACCTGCAATTTGTCGTTTGCAAGTTTTTGGGCCTGAAATCTGAACATTTTTTCCCATTTACCTGCAGGTTTGATGGTAACCAACTTTGGGTGATTAAAATCAGAGGCAGTGCTTTTCTTTGGCATCAGATTCGCTGCATGGTTTCTGTTCTATTCATGGTTGGCAAAGATCTTGAATCTCCAAATGTGGGTACCTAGCACCCTCATATATAAATCATTTTGAAAATTTGTTTAGTTATTGCCTCGTTGGTCCTTTAGGCTTTAAGAGTGCACTAGAGAATTGGTCTTGCAAACTGTGAAGATTGCATGTATCTATATGGCATGTTTGCCAAGTTTACTTCCCGAAACCAATTTTATTAAAAAAGGATCTGGTGTAAAGATTATTTAAGTTGAATAATAGGAGTTTTGTGGGCCTAATAGAGGCAACACCCACCAAATGGCTGTGTTCTCTCTTTGATGCAATATAGAGAATGTCACTGTTATAATAAAAGTTCTGCATTGTAGAACATAATTGGTTTTTGTCATCTTGATGTCTGAATTGAAGTTTTTGTTAGTCCTCTTAAATGGCTGCAATAACATGTCAAACACTTGAAACATTTGCACAAACAACCATGGGGAGAGACCTTTTCCGTTGAAAGTATTTCCATCTTGCTTTCCTGTCTCTGTTTCTATGCTTTAGCAAATGCCACATTACCAGATGGTACTGACTTTTTTAGATGTTTGTTAAGGAATTGTATTGCCTTCTTGCTTATGAGGGTGTCACATTGTCTCTTATATTTATTCTCTTTTTTAGTTTTTTATATTAGCATCACATTGTAATATTAAATCCTAGGACAATTCATCTCTACATATGGATTTCATATTCTATCGTTTAAACTAATAAGTTTAATGTTTAAATTTGTAGGTGATTGATATGCTACTGGATACTAATAGGATCCCAAGGAAACCCCAGTACACTATGGCTTCAGAGGTTCCATTGGTTCTTCAGTCCTGTGAATTTGAAGATATTAAGTTTATGTGTTCATCAGGTATTTCTGATTTTTAAGACTTAAATTATGGTGACTGACTACTTTGTTGGATTCCTTTCTTGAAATCCAGTACTGGTTGGTTAGCATATCAAAGCCATAAACTTTGGTTGCATCCAATTTTCAATTTCTTCTTTGCTTGCCTATTAGGACACTGTACATACAAAAGTTTGATAACTTGAATTTATTTGATTGATTGCATTTCTAGATTCAAGAGAAGCGCTGCGTGCACACTTGGCGAATGAATGCCAAACTTACCAGCTTCAAGCTGCAATCTTTCATGAAGCTCTTCTTAATTGTGTGCCTCTATCACATGGTGCTGCTAACAGCTTGCTGAATTACTTTACAATCACCCTGCTTACTTTTGTTTACACTGATCTATTATGCTGATAACTGTTCCTTTTCCAGATCAAAGTTTGGTGCCTATTCGAGGATCCAAGAAGAAAGCTTCCCATATCCTTCTTATCTCACGACCAACTGAGCGTGAGTTCTTTCCCCTGCAATATTTTAAAGCTTGTGTAAAAATACTTAAATGCATGTTATAAGTGGAATGTGAATGCATTGTTTTCTTCTAATCTCCACACCAAATAATTTTCACAGAATATATTTCCTGGTCCATTATTTTACTGACTGACTTCTTATTCTTATTGAATTGAATCCAGCATCATATGAAGAACGCCGTGCCAAACTCAACTCAAGTACATGAAGATTTCACTGGCCATCTCTATTATAGAGAGACCTTCTGCATAGGTTGTATTATTAAGTGATCACTTTTTTCTTAATTGAATTCAGGGTTTGGTTTTTTCATGTAGTGTTCTTGTTTCTGAGGTATTCGTGCACCCTCCCTGATGGTAATATTAGAAAGAAAGAAAAATCTTTTCTGAAATTGAAATTTGTGTGGGTGCTCGTGTTCTTATTGTCTTGTTGATTGCATGCATATAGCAAGACAATTTTTCTGTTTGGAATCTTAAAATTAAGATATAATTTTATTTGCTAATCAAATCTTGTATTTGGAATGTTAATAAATAGGAAATGATTTGATATGAATTTCATTGCTCTTGTTTTGCAAAATTTTGGATTTCGTGAGAATTGATTGAATTAATATAAATTAATCATTTAACTTAACCAAATGGCCCATCTAATAATGGTTCCAAAAACATTAAATTTGTTTTTTAAATCATATCCAATTAATTCAAATCATTTCTGATTTTAAACATAATGTAACTTGTTGACGCAAATTACTCGCCTGGACCTCCAGTTTGCTTAGATTCTAGCATTTTACTTAATTTTAAACTTTTATAAGAAAATTGGGTGGTTTTAGCTTAGAAAATTGGTTTTACCATTATACGCTAGATCAAATTCTATTTGTTGTAGTACTTTTTTAAAATCTGTTTTTGTGTCTTTAAAAAAAGACTAACTTTCACTGTTTATGTGACCAAATATTAAAATAGCAAAATTTACATAATTTTCAGTTGAAGAAAAACATGTCAATCTAATATGGAACTTGAAACTTGCTGGTTAAGCAGACAAAAGCTACCTCCAAATAGCTTGCTTGTCCGTGTCTTCAATCTCGGGTGCCTTCAAACAAACTCCTCCAAACCCGGCAATCACCATGTGGGGAAAAAGTTAAACAACCCAAAGAAACTCTTACCTTTATTTTCTATGATGGTGGGTTAATAATGGCCCTATGCTCGTTATCATATGTGTATGGGATAGGCATGGTCACCTAATTCAATTTTTCCAAACTGAAATATATTAATTTCAAGAATGATTGATTAGTGGAACCCACGTCCACACAAATGTTTATATTTTGGGATCTAGAGTAACATTAGAGTTATATTTATAAACTCTTACAAACTATACTATGTTATCCTGGAAGAACATTAGGTTACACTATGTTCTCCGGAGGTACATAGTGTAATTTGCAAAAATTTATAAAAAAAAGTTTGTAAACAGATCATTCCCCTACTTTATATGTTGGTATCTAGAACCTATAATGATACATATTTTATAATAAGTTTTCTTTAAGTCTATGACTTTCAGTTAGGGGGATAATTGGACTAAGTTGGCTTACAGGGACCTATTACCTAGTCTATATTAGGTCAGATTTGACCTCTTACAAATAATAAAATAGAACAGGTCTAGGTTTTTAAATAAACCTATTTAGAAAATAGGTCATAGGTTTTTTTATACATGTCGGACCTATAAGCCTACAGGTCAGCTTATTTCATATTATTTATTTTAAATAAAATAAATAAAATTATTATTTTAATAATTTTAAATAATAAAGTAATATTATTTTAGTAATTCTTTTAAGGGAAAAATGTTTCCGCAGTTAATGCAGAGAAGTTATCTGCATTTATTTTCAAAACGACGTCGTTTTGGTATTGAAATCTTAAAATATTATAAATATAAAGACTATTATAACCCTAAAATAAATTAAAATTACAAAAACACCATGATTTCCGTCCCAAAACGACGTCGTATTGGCTTACTGCAGACAACTTATCTGCAGTAACTACAGAAAAAGCGAACCCTTCTTTTAATTATTGAATGTTTAATAGACTTAAACAAGTTAACAGGCTTAGATTAAAGCTTTTATTTTTTAAATATAGATTAAGGCATACTTTTAATTTAGAACCTATACAGGTTAACCCAATATTTTTTTTGCTCAAATCTGATCTATTTAAATGAAAGTCCAGCCTATTTATATACTTTCAGTTATCTAACGTGGTATTGTTACTCTTTTTAAGTTTTAATAATAGCTAAGCAAGTAAAACCCAATAATTAAAAAAAATGTTATAATCAAATTTGAAAATAATTTATGCTGCTATTTATCTAGACAAAAATGCCAAATTTAAATTTTTATTATTTGACTCGTAAGAGAGAGAGAGAAGGTGGAGGGAAACTCGGATAGAAAAACGACACCAAAGCGAAGCAAAAATCTCGCGACAGTTTGTGTGTGCTGTGCATTTTGAAAGGAAAAGAGAGAGAGATGGAAGCTGCGATGGGACTGATGCGGAGGATTCCGCCGAAGCACACAGACGCAGCTCTCTCTGCGCTTCTAAGCCTTATGCCTCACCACTCTTCCGATCTCCTTTCTCAAGTCGATCAGCCCCTACAGGTCTCTCTCTCCCTCTCTAGATTTTTCGGTTTTTTCGGTTCCTCTTTTCAATTGCATTGGTTACGGTTCGTTTTAACCTGTTTGGCTGCTGAGAAATTGGGGGAGAAAAAGACAGAAAATGGGGTTGAGGCTTTTTTTTTATTTATTTTTTGGAGTACAACTTGGTGGGAATTTCATCAATTTACGGAATGAAATGTGGTGAAGAAGAAGAAAAAAAAAACAGAAATGGGTCTAAAGCAATATTGCCTTTTTAAAATGGGGTTAATGTTAATGTCTATGCGTGTGTGTGTGTGTGTGTGTGTGTGTGTGTTAGAGAGAGAGAGAGAGAGAGAGAGAGAGAGAGGAGACGGGACGTTAGTGCTCTGCGACTATTTGCTTTCAGAACTTAACTTTTAATTATTATAAAATTTTGGCTGACAAAACAGGTTTTGTGCGATGTGGATTGTGGGAAGGAGTTCATATTGTGTGAATATAACAGAGATGCTGACTCTTACAGGTTCATTATCTCTTTATGGTGGTGATAATATGCTTAGTTTTTAAGTCTTTATTTTCAAGCATATTTCAATAGTTTTTTTTTTTTTTTTAATGTCTATCTTAATCAAGTAACTTTCATTTTCTTGAAGCAAAATAAGACATGACCCTTTATGAAGTATATGCCAATTTTTTGAATGGAATTATCACTGAGTGGCACATACAGAATGAATATAACATCTAATAAAACCTGAAACCATGTTTGGTATAGCATTGAAATTTAAATCACTGACATAATTTTTAATTAAAAAAAGGGGGTATTCATGTTTATTTATATACAAGGTAATTAATGTCTGGGAGGAAGCATGAAAAAATCTGAGAGGGAAAATGAAAAATAAATATTTTTCGACCACAAAATATATGGTTAATTTAATTCTATGTTTCTTAATCTAAGAAATAAAGTTTAATGTATTTGTTGGTATTTTGATGAATATGGCAGCGTATTGTAAAAATGACAGTATATTTTATGAAAAACTGGATCTTGAAATGGAGACCATTATAAATATTTATTGCTAAGTAGGTTAATTTATTTCTTACCCTCCTAACGTGTTTAGTATTCTGGGAAGGATAATGTTAAACTTATTCTTGTGCTGTATCTCTTGCAGATCACCTTGGTCAAATAAATACCATCCACCGTTAGAAGATGGCTCCCTCCCTTCTTTAGAGTTGAGGAAGCTTGAAATTGAAGCAAATGACATATTTGCAATTTATCTTGACCAGTGAGGTCCCTTACTTACCTCATCTTTTGAGCTTATTTTCCATTTTAGATGTCTTATTAAGAAACCTTTCTGCCTAGTAACTTATCACCTAAGTTCTGTTTGACATCAAAGAAATCAATTGCAGATGGATTATCCTCTGTTTTCTTGTTACTATCTATTTCAATATAATTAATTTAGGTATTTTGTTTTAATACAATATGCACCATTAATGGATAATGTCATAGATATTATGAAGGTGGCATTTCATCAGTTTACATGTGGGAAGATGAGAATGAAGGTTTCGTAGCCTGCTTTTTAATAAAGAAAGGTGAGCCTGTTATTTGAGGATACTCTAATGGAAAACGCTTCTCATCCTTTTGACCTTTTTCTGATATGATATTGTTTCCAATTCCATGCTTAAAGATGGTTCAAAGACAGGGCAAGGTCGACGAGGATATCTAGAGGAAGGAGCATGGGATGCTATACATGTTATAGAGGTAAAGTGTGTTTGTGTTGAATACTAAGCAGTGATAAATACAGCTGCATAATTTCTTTTAATCCATTGAAAAACTGAAACATCTCTCTTTAGTTCTAATTTTTCAGTTTCTTTTTATTGAAAGATTTAAAAAAGAGTTTTTGTATTGATACAATTGATTTACACTAATAGGAGGTATTTATACAAGTGAAAAAATGAAAAAAATAGATAAGAATGACTTAGCAATGAGTCGTCAAACTTATCCTATCATGACTCAGCAATCCTATCCTATCATGACTCAACAAATTCAAAATTTTAAAAATCCTAATTTCCTACACTCCCCTTCAAGTTGGGAGGTAAATGTTGATCATTCCCAACTTGCCAATCAGGTCTTCAAAGGCTGGCTGATGTAGGCCCTTAGTGAGGATATCTACAGTCTGCTTCGGTAGGAATATACATCATGCACACACTTCTATGTTCTATCATCTAATTTTTCTTTGATGAAGTGGCGATCAACTTCCACATGCTTTGTTTGATCATAGTGAACTGGATTTTGAGCGATGCTGATAGCTACCTTGTTGTCACAATATAATCTTATTGGTAAGGAATATAAGATCTTCAACTCTTCAAGAAGTCTTCTCAACCAGATTCCCTCGCAGACTCCATAGGTTAAAGCTCGAAATTCTGCTTCAGCATTACTTCTTGTGACCACTGTATGTTTTTTGCTTCTCCATTTACGAGATTTCCCCACACATAGGTGCAATAGCCTGAGGTAGATCTCTTGTCCACTAATGAACCTGCCCAATCTGCATCAGTGTAGATTTCAAATGTCCTGTTATACCCCTTTCCAAAGAATAATCCTCTGCCTGGAGTGTTCTTGAGGTATCTAAGCAAGGAAGCAGGGAAACTCCAAAAAACAGGGAGTGTCGTGTCCAACACGTTCCGACACGCGGTCAACATTCTCGACACGTTGACCATTTCGACAGGCGAATTTTACTGTGTCCGACACGTTCCGACACGGTCAAATGGCATTTTCGCAAAAAATTTATATTTTTTTAAAAAAATTAAAATATATTAATAAAGCTTCCACCTGATTATATCATATATTTTTTGTCTTTTTTCCCCTTAAGTAGATAAGAGATCATCTTAGCACCATTGTTGTCATTCCTGTTACATTCTTGCCGTGTCTCCTTCTCTCTGATCTCTCTCTCTCTCTGATATTATCTCCCTCTCGCATCCCAGTTACTGTTTTTTTATTAAAGCTTCCACCTTTATAACGTGTTGATGGTATTATTAATTTAGTTTCATTTTTTTTGTTAAATTATTGAATATTTAATGAAATATACACTATATAAATTAAAAATATTATTTAAAATTAAAATGTGTCCCAACGTGTCGAAATCCATATTTTTTTAGGATTGACGTGTCGGAGTATCATGTCGTGTCACGTGTCGCGTGTCGTATCGGTGCTACATAGTATCTAAGCACCCTATAAACTGTACTTAGATGTTTCTCCTTGGGTGAATGCATGAATTGACTAATCATACTTATGACAAAGGCAATGTCAGGTCGCGTGTGGGATAAGTAAATTAGGTTGTCTACCAATCTCAGATATTGCTCGTTATCCACCTTGTTTTCCATCTTCAATACCTAACTTGGTGTTAGGTTCCACAGGTGTCTCAGCAGGCTTACATCCTAACATTCTTGTTTCGAGCAAAAGATTTAGAACATACTTCTTTTGTGTGAGAGTGATGCCTACTTTGCTCTTAGCAACTTCCATATCAAATATTTAAGAGTTCCAAAGTCCTTTAGTTCAGACTAAGTTGCTAGATACTCCTTAAAGGAGTTAAATTCCTCGTTATCGTTACTGTAAGAACTATATCATCCATGTACACAATAAGAATAGCAATTTTGCCATCCTTAGAGTGTTTTTGGAAGAGAGATGATCAGTCTGTGCTTGAATGAAGCCTCTTCCTTTGACAGCTTGTGTGAATTTGTCGAACCATTCTCTAGGAGACTGTTTCAACCCATAGAGAGCCTTTTTTAATTTACACACTGATCCATCTCCTTTTTTAAAGCCAGATGGAGGATCCATATAAACCTCTTCATGTAAATCACCATTTAGGAATGTATTTTTCACATCTAGCTTTTGCAGAGGCCAATCTAGGTTGGCAGCAAGTGATAAGAGAACTTGGATGGTATTGACCTTAGCAATTAGAGCAAAAGTCTCATGGTAATCTATCCCATGAGTCTAGGTGAAACCCTTCGAAACTAATCTTGCCTTGTATCTGTTAATGCTATTATCTGTATTGAATTTTATTGTAAACACTTATTTTCATCCTACTGCCTGTTTTTCCTTTGGTAGGGTCACTGTCTCCCAAGTTCCATTTCTTTCTAGAGTATTCATTTCTTCAAAGACAGCATCCTTCCATTTTGGATCATTGAGAGCCTCATGTATATTTCTCGGTATCTTTGTATTGTCCAACATAGTATTGAAAGCACAGAACTTTAGGGACAACTTTACATATGAAATATGATTAGAAATAGAATGAGTAGTATAAGATCAAGTACCTTTTCTGAGAGCAATGGGCAAGTGTAGATCATTTTTGTCATGGCACTTAAGTGTTAGGGTGTTGTAACTAAAACTTGGTTCAGAATCTTGGTAGTATAGAGGCTCTGGGTTATTCACACTTTGAGGAGGTTTTCGCCTGCTATAAACTTGTCCCCACTTTAAGGAGGCTCCTCCATCTCTGATGGTGAGGGTTTTGTAGCTCTCCCTGTTTCCAATAGTAGAGGTAATACTGTGGAATCAGTAGGTTCTCATGACTGATCTTCATCTGCTCCTAAAGACTCCCCCCCCCCCCCCAAGGGAAGTTAGAGGAAAGAAAGGTTGAGTCTCAGAAAATGTGACATCCATAGAGACAAAGACCTTACGAAGAGAGGGTGAATAGCATTTATAGCCACGTTGAGTAGGGGAATAACTAATGAAGACACACCGGAGAAGCTTAGGATCAAGCTTGGACCGTTGATGAGAGAGAATATGGACAAATACTATACAACCAAACAACTTTACATATTTCATTGTATTATTAACAGTCGCTAACCCAATATTCAACCACGAACCTCATCAAGATCGTTGTTGATGCCAGCAAGAAATTCATAAAGTCTTTCCTTCTCCAAGTGTTTTTTAAACTGGGCATTAGCTTCCAATCTTTTAAGGTCGGATGCATAATTAAGATCCAGTTCCTGCCACAAATTTGTTAATACGGTGAAATATTCAGCAATGGTCATATCTCCTTGACGCAAGTCCTTTAACTTACTTTTTAATTCAAAGACTTGAGAGGTATTTTCCATATCAGAATAATTTTGTTGAACAGAATCCCAAATCTCCTTGGCAGTATCGAGAAACAAATAGGTTCAGCTGATCTGGGGTTCTACGGAATTGGTCAGCCACGCCATTACCAAAGAGTTATTAATCTCCCAATTTTCATAATCAGGAGCATCCTCGGCAGGTTTTTTAATCTTCCCATCGAGATAACCCATCTTACCCTTTGCTGGGATGACCAACTTAACAGATTCAAACCATTGCAGGAAATTCTTACTGTTCAACCAGTGACTAGTGATCTGCATGGCTAAGTTATCTCCAGAGGACTAACTATTGAGGGCAGATGGGGAAGCGGAAGAACGATCCGAAGAAGCCATGAATGAAGAGAGAGGATAAAACAAATTTGATGAACAGTGATTCCGGCGATGCACAGTTTTTCCAGCGGTGTTTGGCTGGGACAGAACTGGAAACAAAAAAAAATGGATAGTGTTTTATGGTATGGGAACAGTGTTACCAGCCTTGAAGATGGCTGATCTAGGGATGGAACGAACCCGCTCTTGATACCATAATGAAAGATGTAAAAAAGAGTATTTGTATTGATACAATTGATTTGCACTAATAGGAGGTATTTATACAAGTGAAAAAATGAAAAAAAAAAATAGATAAGAATGACTCAGCAATGAGTCGTCAGACTTATCCTATCATGACTCAGCAATCCTATCCTATCATGACTCAACAAATTCAAAAATTCAAAAATCCTAATTTCCTACATTTTTCTTGCAAGTCTATTTCGGTAATTCTTAGTCATGCTCTTTTATTATGTAAATTTAGGTGGGACCGGAGGAAGAAGAAAACACCAGTTATCGCTTAACCAGTACAGTTATGCTTACTTTGACTACAAATAATGAGTCATCGGGAACTTTCAGTTTGTCTGGATCAATTAGACGTCAGGTACTTTCATGTTGACAATTAAATTGTTTAGTCAGCAATTGCATGCTAAGTTTTATTTTCTTTCTTTCTTGAGAAGCCTCATCATGAACAACGCACCTTTATTGTTTGCTGAATTATATGATTGTTATTTGACAAAGAAATGTAGATTGCATAATTCTGTTACTTTTCAAACCCATCAGGTGTATAACTATAACAAGGGGTATATTAGGATGGTCATTCATGCAATAAGTGCCTCTGCACTAGCTGCCCTTCAACATTAAAGTGGCTATAAGCATGAAAATTTTGTATCTTAGTCAAGGAAAGATGTTTAATAAATTCCAGATAACAGGTTATGCATATGCTTTCTAAGCACTTTCTTAAATACTCCGTACTATTTATAACTTCATTATGTGCTAAGTATTAATTAAGATTCCTGGCATTCGAGATTTTCAGGCAAGTTCTTAACTTTGTCAAAGTGTGCAGTGTTTTATTTTAGCTGTTTAAGCAGTCACCAGTATTTACTGGCAAGAGCTAACTTTATTCACACTGTAGTTTTTTGGCTGTAAGAACCTACATTATATCTAGATAGTGCTTTTTAGCATGTCAGCACATTGAGCATCGCATGTTTTAACTTTTAGCTAACAGGACAATAAATGTAACTTCGAAATAAGCTTGTGAATGAAAAGATGCCAACATCTTAATAAAATCGGTGACAAATTACAATAATTGAAGATGTTTTGAACATCACAACTGTAGAATCTACGAGCATGAATTGAATTATTGAAGAGGTGAGATTCTGAAGGAAAACCTAAGTCTAATGTACCATTCATACAGAAGACGAAGTGGTAAAGAGAAACTTGCTGAAAACTTGTTTTGTCAATCAATGCAAATATGTCTTGACTCTAAATAGGATGTGTTTTTATAGTCTTGCAAGAAGTATTTTCCCCAGTAGTCGTAATTCATTATCAATGTAAAAATCTAATTAGAATTGAAATTTGTTCTCCATCAATTGATCAAGTGAAATTATATTTGGCAGATATGTGTCTATACTGTTGATATTAGTAGTGGGAACATTGATTGAGGATGTTATATTATTGAGAAAAGAGAAAAAATATTAGTGTTAGATGTAAATTGATTACCATGAAGTTAGTCTGAGGTGCAATAGGCATCCATCATTTGGGCAATGAAATCTTTGTTGACACTTTAAAAAGTACTGGAAAGCACAGGCAGGGAACATACTGACCAATGAGTAATGACAAATCAGAACGCTTATTACAGATGGTTAATGGTGAATTAATGACAGGATGCTGCTAAATTTATGAATATTATGTATTATGTATGATATGCCTTCTTGCCTTTTGCATGAGTCAACCATTTTTTGGTTTTTTTTTTTTTTTTTTTAATCCTTAAGTAGTGTTTCCTTATGTTTTAGATGAGTATGAAGCTGTCAGTTGCTGATGGACATCTTTGTAACATGGGAAGGATGATTGAAGAAATGGAAAGTAAGCTGAGGAACTCACTAGATCAGGTACTTCTTGATTATATGATTCAAGCTTCAACTGCAAATTTGTAATATTGAAGATCGCTTTCTTTACTATTGCTTTTGTTCTTTGGTTGGGAGAGGGTTGTGATTGAATATTTGGTTCCTTCGTGGCTATGACATTTCAAACTAGAAGGAAATGTGCTTATCTTGTCAATCATGTGTGTGTAAATGCATGTTACAGGTATACTTTGGGAAAACAAGAGAAATGGTTTGCACACTAAGACCACCGGCTGAAGTGGCGCAGATGAGAATGCCTGAGAGCTAATATGCCATTACATGGTGTGGCAGAGAGGATTTTACTATGTTCTCTTCAAATGTTTTAGCTTATTGACTGGTAATTGTTTCACTGTATTTGAGATAGGTAGTTGGGATGACCTTCGTTTCGCAGAGCTAGTTCCGTTTGTTGTTCGAATGTAAACCCTATTGTTCTGTAGTGGATACTGGATAGTATTATGTTTGTTGTTGATACTGGAATGTTAATTCAACAGAACAGTGGAATCCCAAAACTAATGCCTCTGAGAATGCCTGAGAGCTGATGCGCCTATTGTATGCGTGGCAGTGAGAGTTTTTTCGCACTCATTGTTTTAACTTCTTGGCAGCTGATTTCTTTTAGGTAGTGTTTGGTCGGAGACTTTTCAATATTTTCCTGGCAAAGTGAGAATGGGTTTCTTCCTTCTCCATGTTTGGTAGATGGATTTGGTGTCTGTTGCCCATCAAAAATGTTTGTCTAGCAATTCATGATATCAAATGAAATCTGAATTTGAACAGTGTTTAAAAAGCCTTTTGTGAAGGTGGTATTGTCCATGGAAAGCTGATAACTGAAAAATGGTGAAAAATGCATGACAAGCTTACCCCTCCCATCTTAACCGCACGTCAGTAAGAGGAAGAGGATCAAAACCAATTCATGAATACGCATGCTTTAAAAAACTCAGTAATTGCTATTGAAATCAAGCCAGGCGAATATTCATGGGAAACAAATAATCAAGCCCACAAGAAACCAACAATTCGAATTACATAAAAGTTAATGATAAAAAATGGTCGGAAGGTAGCAGTTTGTGGATCAGTGAGGTCTGGAAAATCAAGCTTGCTGTGCTGTATGCTTGGTGAGATTCCATTAGCTTATGGGGCAGTTCAGAGCTTGAACCGAAAGTTCAGAGCTTGAAGAGATGGAAAATACAGAGATATGGAAAATATTGACGTTGGTAGAAGAGATGTCCAACGATAGACTACGAATATTTTTGGGAAGGGTTCATCACATTCAAAAAAATAAAAGGGTTAATTTCGTAATTTCAACCTATTTCCCCATCTTTATCTTACTCTCAACCAAACATGAAATTCGGAAATTTAAATCAATTTTCCCAGTAAAATTTCATCCAACCAAACAACTTTTTTTTCACTTTCCTACCAAACTTTCTAACCATTTCCCTATCAATTACATTTCCCTAGTATTCAAAAAATTTCTCCTCAACCAAACACTACTTTAGTACTTTGACGGTAAGAGGCAGGCTTTGGGGAATGATTTTTCAAATTTCCCGTGCCATTACGTTGTGGATTTTTTTTTCAGTTTTATGTGAGAAATTATAATTACAGCTTACAATTCACACGATGATTTGATTTTGATCTAAGATAAAAAAAAAAAAAAAAAATGTAAAAAATTATATGCAAGAATAAATTATAAATATAACTTTCCTCCAATATTATTAACCAAAAAATAAAATAACGCACGAGTTAAAATCGGTAGATATGCAAAACTTCCAAACAATCAAATAAATTGAAACCAAACTGAAACCAACTGCAAAATCTAAATTAGAGTAAAATAATATTAAAATCACGATCAGGCAACTATGCCTGCGCTATAAGCGATCTTCATTTTAGCTCTCCTTTATAAGCATAAAAAACAAAACAAAAAAAACAACTGTCTCATCGCATCGAGTTGTTGTTTTTGGCTCATGGATGGCAGATTGTGTGGCAATCAACGTATAGTTTTATTTTATGTCTCCTGTAAGAGAAAACAGAAGCATGGAATGCTGTGACATCAAGGACAAATTCCATTTCATTTTCTATGTTTAAAATCACAAAGTTTGTATTAAGTGAGGTTTGTGTCGTTTGTCAATGCCACTTCATCCAAAAATGTTTTTCACAGGCTTAGTACCCTAACCCAAACAAAGATACATATTAACTTTCTAATAATATCACATAAGGCCAGCTCCTATATGCCTGGCTTCTCTTGCTAGAAATCCAAGGTCGAAGAAGTTAACATGTTAGCAACCTAAAATCACAAGAACCCGTAAGGCTTCTTGGTAAGCAAGCTTAGAAATACTTGTCCTTACAGAGAAAGCTATGACAAGGTTCACGATTCCAAGCTTTTTAAGCCTTAGTATCTGAGGCAACACTAGGATTGCCCACTACAGTGTCTTTTGTGTCGGGTTCATTATCAGCTGATGCTTCTCCTGTGACCTGGTCTTCTGTGTCATTCTCATCATCTGAACAAAAGACCAACAAACTCCAGTCACACGCAACTAAAAATATATAAATTTAAGTACATAAAGAATTTATATCACAACACAAGAAGAAAATTTAATCATGCTGCGTTACATAAATAAAATAACAGACAACAGTTCGATACTCTTACCATCACCATCATCTGCCATGTCATCATCCAGTCCCTCACCCCCGCCCATATTCATCTTCTGGATAAAAAAGGAATAAATGTGTCAAGTGCTCATCAAACCAAAAATATAAGCAAAGTATTAAAATATATTGAGTTTTGCTACTTACAGAAAAATCGAAGTCCCCAAAGTCCGTATCAGTTGCAGCTGAAAAACAATATGCAAATGAGACAACTGATGCAAAATTAAGACCTCATATTCTGAGAAATATTAGTAGAACCACTAACGTTTATTATCTTCTTGCTCCTCATCTTCATCAACCCACTTGTCCCAATCTACTTTCAAAAAGACTGGAGGTTTTCCTCCCTGCTTTAACAGTCTGTCCCACCATTTGTTCTCAGTCTTTTTAACTAAGTAGAAGATATTTCTTGCACCAACACTAGCTTTGCTATTCTGAGAAGAAAGACCAACACACAAATTATAAGATAATTGAGGAAAAGATAAAATTAACAGAAATCATTATGAGAATGGCAGCCCTTACGTTTACATCAACCTTGTCAAACAGGTCAATGTTAACTTCATACGGAATCTTTTCTGCACCAGCAGTTGCAGAGAAGTAAAACTTTCCTTCAGGCTCCAGTACAACCTTCAGGTCCTGAGCATCAGGCAACTCAACAGTTATGTACAGCTCATCAGACCTCTGGGCCCATTTGACAGGAGGATGGCGGCTACATTTTAAAATTCAAAGGAATTCAGGGATCTAGAATACTAAAAATCTTGCTCAATATAATATCACCAACTGACACAAGAACGCAGCATGACTGCTTTTCACACAACAACTTCCAAGTATCAAGTCACGAGGCCATAATGACAGCATGCTAAACCAAAACATCACACAGTAACAAACATTTATCTAAATTTTTATAGTAAAAGAATTTATTACAAAAGCAGGGAAAGTAGAGAAATACAAATCTTCCTAAACAGAAAAACAAAATTACGGTAGAGCACAAGAAAAATAAAATATGCAGCAAAGCTGCCCAATCTTTATGCATATCTGAAATGCCAACTCCACAACCATACAATACTGCATTAATACTGATTACCAAAAAATTTCAAAGCAATCACAAAATTTGGAAGCTGACATTTTGAACTTCATGGAATTTTTAAGAGCAAAAACATACTGACCTAAATCATGGATTTAAAAATATCTAACCTTTGCTGCAATGGAGTACTATAAACCTCAAGAATAACTCATTGAACAACAAATTAAATAAAATTCAAAGAAAAGTACAAAAAAAGAAAGGAGAAAAAAAAAATTCATACTGACCTGCTACGATGTAATTTATTGGAATAAATTAATTCAAATATACTTGAAAAACCACCGGATTGGAATACACTTAGGTCCATCAAACTTGAGCATAGAAGAGATTCTATTCTGAAACACAATTTTGTTTTGATTTTTCCCCTCAAATTTCTTATTTGACATCAATTTGACCTTGATTTTAAGAGCATCACTATGAACGACATCAATTTCTTTTGAGCTTCCAGCTCATATCTAACGAAAACTGTTAACTTTCTCATCCATGCTAAACAGTAGCTTACCTCTAAAATTAGCATCAATCTAATGTTCTTCTCTCTCTCTCTCTCTCTCTCTCTCTCTCTCTCTATATATATATATATATATATATATATATATATATATATATATATATATATATATATATATATATATATCAGAAATTTCCATCGACTATATTACCAATCATCCAGTCAGAGTTACCTTTTATCCTCTGTTTGGGGGGAGCAAAAAGCAACAAACAACTTAGTGATCCTGGTTTACTGATAAAATTAGAGCACAGAGCACAGAGCATGTGCAAGCAACCTAAACCCTACGATCGACCGATGAAGCCCATAAACAAAAGGAACGAATATCAATAATTAAATGTTGTAAGCAACCAGAGAACCGAGACTCCAAACAGAGTCTAAGATTTCTCAAGCTAAACGCTAAAACCCTAACTAATTTATTAAAATAAAGCTATGGAATTCATCCAAATTCCCTATCTAAACACACACACACACACACACACACAAAAGGATAATATCAACGAAACGAAACGCAGTAGATAGTCTTATTGTGTGTTCCTACACTTTCTCGGGAACCAAACAGTAGAGAAAAACGCACCTCATCTTAGAATTTTCTCGGGAAAATGGGGGTAAAAGTGGAGTGAGTTCAGTAATCTGGGCGATCAGAAAGTTTTGGTTATTGTTCTTGTTATGGAAATGCCTTACTCCTTTATAGCGTCTATCCATAAAATGCATCAGATATTAATTTTTTTATTTTTCAAATAAAAGTAATAAAGTGATACATTTAAGGGAAAAAGAGTTCGAGAACTCTCTCCTTACGTCACTCATTCATCGATCACAGTGCCAGATTTTTTTATTATATTATTACAATGTGGGGCCCGCCGTTTTGTTATCTCTTTTCTCATAAATTAATATATTTTATATATTTTTAAGTGTGTAAAAAAATAAAATTTATTTTCTGTAAAGTTATAGAAATTTGTTTTTATAAAATAAATCTTTCCTATACATATCATAAAAAAATGTGTCATTTTTTAAAAAAAGTGTTTATTTTTTTTAAATCAGCAAGTCTCACATTTGATGAGATAAGATTAAAATTTTTTTATAACATGATATTTATTTTTCTCAATATTACAACATAATAAATATTAAACTCTTTATTTATTGCAGCTTTTTTTTTAAAATTTATCTAAATATTATTTATTACCGTCTAAATTATTTAAAGAGAATGAAGGAACCAATAACAATTATCAGCTTAATATAGAGAAAACAATGAATTTTTCGCTTAATGCTTACCTCACACCAAACTAACCTCTTAAAGAAGAAATAATCCTACCTCTAAGACAATATAATTTCTTTTAATATATACATTACTTATTAGTTATTACCTATTTAATCTTCTAACTCTTAATACTTTTTTTATTATCGTTGATTTAAATACAATGTAATGGTAATAAAAATAATATGGGAAGGATAACAATCCCCTTACAATATAACCCAGCTCCAAAAATTGAACTTTCAATTTTAGGATTCAAACAGTCAGTTTTAATCATGCAATCGGCACCCATTAATTAATTTAATCCAACTAAATTTTTTCATTTATGGATCTCAAACTAGAAAGTTAATCAAGAAAAGCAAATTTCATGTCACTTGAACCAATAATAATAATAAATATAGGAATGCCCCATTTATGTAAGTGAAAATATTATCTCTCTTGGCAATATGAATAAATAAATAAATAAATTCACAAATATTGCATTAATCCTTAATAGAAGGGCCTATATGCCAATGGTGTAGCATCAGGACAAAAATTTTCTAATAAATGGATAATGTATTCCGCACTCGAACTAATATAATACAAGTTAAAACCAGACAGAAGTAAAAATAACAAATTCCGTAGCTTAAAAACTTGGCACTCTTATAGCAACTTACACCTTCAAAAATGTTTTTAAGTACATGACAATGAACCACCTCATAGTTATGCTACAATTAGAGGGTAACTAGTCCTTTGCTATCCTTGCTTCAAAACCCCCTGCAGGTCTTTTAACAAGATGGAAAGGCATGTATGTCCCAAGGAGCTTATCCCAAATGGGAAAGAATGGCTGAGAATAATTGTATTTGAGGCCTTGTAGTTGATGATGAATGTCATGATAAGCTGTGTTATTATGGAAAAATAAATGGAAGATATTGCCAGGCAACCACAATCCACAGTGATCATCAACAGTTTTCACAACAGCAAAGCAGAAGAATACAACGGCTGTTCTTGAAGTCATCCCTGAGAAAAGAAATGAGATGGCCCCACCAACAGTGTCAAGTAGAAGCCCCTCAATGGGGTGATTGTAAAGGGCTCCTATTGCATATGGAACAACCAGTCTATGATGCTGGGAGTGGATATGACGGTATAAAAACTTGTTCTGATGCATGTATCTATGCACAAAGTACTGCCATGTATCCATCACAAACATGGCAATAAGGATCTGCAAAACTTGCATTTGAATAGAAGGCTGCACTGTAACCCCAGATGCATTTGCCGTTGTCGTCAACTGCAGAATCGTAGTAAGCATATAAGTCATTCAAAAACTACAGAAAATTCTTTGATTTCTAACATGACAATTGTAATTTCTCTCTCCATGCATTCATTATGATATGAAACTGTAATTTCCTTGTAGTGTCTGAAAACTTCAAAGAGTTCAATTCAATATGCAAGATAAATAGTTAATAACTTGACAAGCATTAGCCAGGTCTATTAATATCATTGTTCCTGTATACAAAGATTTTCAATTCCCTAACTTCCGTTGTAGGTTCATCAGTTTGCCAAACCAAATAGAAAAGGCTGAAGTACTAGACAACCAACATCAAAATGAAAAACTATCAGCTCAACTGACACAAAATATAGATCTACAACAACAACCAAGACTTTACCCTACTAGGTGATGCCACTTTTAAATATAGATCTGCAAAAGAAAAATTACTTAACATACTTTGTACAGGAGACAAAACTTCAGGGGTCTGAATTATAGCTAGAGAAATTCTTAGGGTTCATTTAAAATTTTAATATACAGATTAACCTCATTAACCGGACTGGATGGCTATCCTGTTTACATGACATGGTTCTGAAAAATATGATGCCTTAAATCAGAATGATTATTTCCGTATCTTAGGGATTTTGTCAAATCCCTGATTTATGGGAATCGATCAGGATCAGTTTTTATTCCCTCTTAATTAGGATTAATTTGTTTTCTTATTTCACTCACATGTGGTGTGTACATATGTTGTAACCTATCATTATTCAAACAAAATACAACAGAACCTTTTTTCTTACAATTCAAACAGTTATATAAAAAAGTACAAGAGAACCCATTGGCCAACAGATCATGTGCATTTGTTAGTTTCAATTAAAAAAAGAAGACATTTCTTTTCGTATAAAACTCGAGTACAACCACGGAATCCTGCATGGTCAGCAAAAAAAAACATCAGAGTTATACAAGCTCAACAAACTTTGTCTAGTTCATTACCAAATATCTGAGGACCAGGTTCAAAACAAGTCTAAAGCCCATATTTTATGGCAGTGTGATGTTTTTGCAGTTCCATGGTGTCGGTTAGATTTTAGAATGTTTACCCCCTATACTTGTTATGTGATAATTGCATTTAAGGTTGTTTCAAGCGAATTTCTATTTCTAATATACAAAGATATTGGATAGCTTGGTTGGATTTTGAACCATTTCAGCTTGCTGCTTAAATATGATCATTTCATAAGAGTTTCCTATGTTCCCTCCAGATGTTATTTCTCTCCCTTCCTACTAATAATATCTTTCCTCTTTTATCAGGGGTAAAATAGTGGAATATAAATTCAGGCTAAAATTTAGAATCGAGCGAACCTAGATTCCCATGACTGGGTGCATTCATCAATGAAAAGCCAAAAACACTATCTCAAATGAAAACCAAACCTAGTTCAAAACAAACTATTAAACTATCAACTATAACATAGATTAATTATTTCAAACCATCAACACTCAAATTGCATAGTATATTTAAAAACAAAAAACTATTTATATCCATTAACACCTTCACTGTTGATATACCACCTAACATGTCTAACTGAACATCAAAACACATATCAGCAACTGGATAGATTACCCATGTAATGTTATAGATCACATATAGACACATTGTGCCACCCAGCCCATGCCAAAAATATTCGTAATATAGAGTTCATATTTGAAGCAGTGCAAATTCACACAAACGGAAGATGGTTCATCCTGAGTTAAGTAGAAGTTTATTGTTTTTGATGGATAAATCAAACTCGTTAGTCGTTACATGGTGGAAAATGACAACAGCTGAATTCTTACAAGTATATTTTATGAATCTACTTTGCTTTCATACTCAAAAGGTTTTATGTGTGAACGAATGACAAATAACCTAAAACAGTAATCCTTGTTGAAAATGATAAAGAAATAACTTTAATATTGAAGACACTAATTTTCTTTCCATTTTATTGAACTGCTTTCCATTTCGTATGCATAAAAACATATTATAGGTTATCAAAATCACTCTGCACTGCACTAATAGAAGAGTCACTTGGGCTCCTCTCTTTTTTTCCTAATATAGTATTCCTAAGATTACTCAGTTTGCTCTCATTTTGGGTATTCAAGGTGTTTGATAAATTAATTCTGTCAATTGTGCTCAAAGTATTTTAAGTAACACTTTTTGTATCTGACGCAGAAATTTTAGCTTTCCAAACTGATGCCATGTCATTGTTGCAAGTCATACTTGGGCCTTAAGCTAAAGCCTATGATAGTAAAGGAGGATAAGAAACAGGGAGAATCACTTATCCTAAAAACAAAAAAGATGAAGATAAAAATAAGGAAAAGTTGGTGTACAAAAGCAATAACAAGAATCAAGCATAAACCAACGTAATAGAAAGTAGAAAATGGAATAACAGTTTCATTTTAAAAATGCTATAAACTTCAAATGTGCAGATGAGCAACAACAAGCAAAGCAGTAGAAACTACAAAATAGATTAAATTTTCAATTAAAAACTCTATCCACTACAAATGTGAACAAATATTATTAGTAGAAATGAGCTCAGACGTAGAATTACTGACCAAGCAAAGTGCAACAATTGCCTGAACAAGCTGCTGAAGCAAAACACCCCTCACAACTGCTGAAAAGGGGACCACATTCTTTTCTTCCTCATCTCTCTTAGTATGCAACCGATACTTATCTAAAGGTGGCAGCAAGTGATAAAATCCAGCATATACCCAATAAACCACAATAGGGGCAAACGTGCCCATCACTTCATCACTCACATATCCTTCCCAAAAAACCATTATAAAAATTTAAAAGTGGAAACAAGTCAATTTTTAAGCAAGAAAAACAGCCCAACCCAGAAACAAGCTCAGCAAGTCAAAGCTGCATTACAGCTAAAAATCTTAACTTGCCCAAGTTCCTTCTCTCCCTGAAAAAGGAAAATCAAAACTGTTAAGTTGTTTGGCCAGACAGAAGAAGAAAGAAAATAGTTAAAAAGGTAAACACAGCTTCCACCGCATGTTTGCATGATTCTTAAGCTTTGGAAAAACCAAAAGAAACAAAAAAAAAATATAAGAGCTAGTGAGTTTTGCATTAGGCCATGTTGAATTCCCACAACCTGAAATTTTAAATTTTTTGGAAATTTCCAAAAATTCTCAGAAACCTTACTCAAAGCACAGAACTTTCTCCCCACAAACAGAATCTAGCACAATGGCTTACCAGAACAACGAGAAGATCAAAATGGTTTCACCATGGAAACCCTTCTCCTCTACAAAAGCGCATTTCTCGATCAGATCTAGGGCCTAGTCTGTATGGATAAATACAGGTGACAGTTGTGAGATTCCAAAAATCTTCAAAAGTTTGAATTTTTATTTGAAACTTTTAGTAAATATTTTGGTTTTTTCCTGCCCTGTATCTTCTCTCGCTTCCCTGCACCTTCTCCCCACAATAAGAAAAGAAACGTGTTTGGGAGACAAGAAAATGATTGAAGCATTTTCTTTTCTGGCCCCCCCATAACCTGCTTTTGTTTTTGGAAAGAGAAAATTGTGATGGACACACGTGTTGCAAGCTAATGATCATGATCACACTCTCCTTCAATCACCAACGTCGCAAAAAGTTTTATTGCCCATATATTTTTGTTTTTACGTCTTTTCTATAAATTGAAAATAAATAGCTGAGATTTCCAAAAATGAAAAAAATTGCCAAGGCATAAAATAAAGCTTGACTGAATGTTATATTTTAATTGGGGAAAAAAAATTCTTATATGGAGTAGAAAGTATTTTCATGATTCTCATGCTTCGATTTTTTTGTTACACTTTTCTTTCTACTAAGTATGGGTTCCGCCATATTTTAAAGGGGTGTTTGGTACAAGGTTTTTTCTTAGATTCTCAAAAAATTAAATTTTTGAAAATTTTAAATTTTTGAATATTATCTTAAACTGAATGTAAAAATCGAGATTTTTGGATAAAAAATTATTTTTCCTCTACCAAACGACTCCTAAGTTTATAATATGAGATATCTCATTTCAAGTGAAGTAACCCATTTTAATATGTCCGAAATTCATTCACATGTAGCATATCTATGTTGCTAGTGATATAATTTGAATGATGATTCGTAAATATTTTTTTTAGTAGATAAGGAGGGCACAGCCCAAAACAAAAATAACAAAACAACTAAAGTAAATCTAATCTATCAAACTCCACCAGCAACTATAAGTCGTCTGGAACTCATGAAAATAATCCTAAATCTTGGTTCCTTTTGAAAGCAAAGGAAACCATCCAATTAGCACAACAATTTGAGTCTCTGCCACCATGATTAAATTTCAGACTCCAACTATTCTGGCTCCAGCTCTGCATTTCGTGAATATTTTTATGTTTAATTTACCTATCAATTTTCAACACCGATCAAATTTCAACTAACATTTATTATTTATCTCTTCTCTTAAGATTCTGATATAATGGTATTAAAAATTGGTAGACAAAGTAGACATAAAAAAAATATTACGTCAAAATTTAATTATTAATTTACTTATATTTAATTGCTCATATATTTAATAAATTAAAATTATTAAAGATAAATAATATTAACGATTGAAATTGAAAATGTTACTTTTATTAATAAGATAATCCTTATCTTATATATATAAAATATTAATTAACATCAGTGTAGAAATAATAACTCTTACATTAGTGAATTCAATAATTATAATTTATTGGGATTAAATAATTAATTAATAAATATGACCCAACAAATTATAACCGTTAGATTCACGAAAAATCAATGGTTAAAATTTAGTATAAGAATTATTATTATCATATCAGTATAAGTTGATCACGCACACACACTCATATATATATATATATATATATATATATATATATATATATATATATATATATATGAGATAGGATCCTTTGACATCGGTGTCAAAATTAAAAATTTGATACCAAATCTTAACCATTGATTTTCGTAAATCAACGATTATCATTTATTGAGAATTAATAATTAATTAATTAATTTAATTAGCGAAAATTATAACTGTTAATTGACGAAAATTAATGGTTAGAGTTGGTGTCAAAATTCAAAGTTTAACATCGGTATCAAATTATCCTCCCCGTATATATATAGAAAAATATTTTCCAAGCAGCTTGAGATATATTTATCCACATCCACATCAAAACTACGTCATTTTGTTTATTTATTTCCTTATATTAATTGATTCACCTTTAAATGATTATGATTTTCTTTTTCTTTTTTCCTTTATCACCATTGATCCATATTTGTATGGTTATAGTTCAGTAGGCGAAGAAAAAGTTATCTCAAATAATTTGAGAAGCGATAATTATATATATAGAATTTAGCGGATGTACAGTAACTGCACCTAAGAATTGGTACAGTCATATAAAACTACGTCATTTTATAGTGTGAAAGCATTAAATATGAGAAATTACAACCATACAAAAGTGGAAATAAATATAAAGTAATAAATATGGGGAATCGTAACCAAATAAAGATAGAAATAAATATAATATTTCTATTTTCTACAATTAATTTTGAACGCGATCTTCCTTTATACCACCCAAAATGACGTAGTTTTTAGGTGATTGCATCAATGCTTATATGCAATCACATTACAAATCATTTTGTCATATATATATATGGGCTTACAGTTTCACAAGCTGCTTGAGATAATTTTATCTTCGGCTACTAAATCATAACCGTACAAAGATGGATCGATGGTGATAAAGGAAGAGAAAAAAAAAAAGAAAATCATAACCATTCAAAGATGAATAAACTAATATAAGGAAATAAATAAACAAAGCGACGTAGTTTTGGGATTGCAGGAGATAAACTTATCTCAAGTTGCCGGAGAAATATTATTTTTTCTCTCATTTTTTTTAATACAATTTTTTTCTCTCTCTCTATATATTCTCGACTAAAAATCGCATATATATATATATATATATATATATATATATATATAGGGATCTATTTATCTCATGTTGCATGTGTGTGAGAAGTAAAACGAGATGATGCGAGGTTAAGAGCGTGTTTGGATGAGTTTTTTTTTCTTCAAAAGCTGTTTTTTTTAAGAATAAAAAGAACTTCTTGAAAAAAGTTTGTTTGGATGTCTGCTTTTTAAAAAAGCAGAAGTCATAAAAAAAGTTAAAAACTTACTTTTTTCGGAAGTTAAAATTTTTAGCTTTTACAAAAAGAAGATGTCAGAAGTCAAATATTTTTTTCAAAAATCAAATATTTTTTTAAAAATCTAAATAGCTGTAACTTTTATAGAAAGTACTTTTAAAATAAGGAAGTGATAAAAATGACTTTATTCAAAAGTCGATACAAACGACCCCAAAAATAATAGGAAAAGGAGAATTTTTGTAGTCTATACACTATAGGTTGTGACTGGACACCACATCACATCACTGAGGACCTCTGATACCCTGACGATTTTTTTTTTTTTTGAAAAAATGTGTGTCGGACACCGACACACTCCGACACGCGGTCAATATTTTGAGACATGTGTTCAACTCTCCGACACGTTTTTTTTTTTAGGCTTAAATTTTTTTTATTAACTAAAAATAAAAAATTATTTATAAATCAATTTTTTTCTGTTATGAAATTTGACATGAAAAAGTAACAAGGTACGAAAAATTATTATTTTTTATATTTATGTTATAAAATTTTAATATTCGATTGGTTATATGACTTATTATAGGCTGTTATATGTATTAAATAAAATATATTATATATATTAAAAATATTATTTAATATCAAAACGTGTCCCAACGTGTCAAAATATGCCATTTTTAAAATTAATAAGTCGACATATCATGTCGTGTTGAATCTCGTATTTCGTGTCAGTATCCGTATCCGTACATAATAAGTGAGGACTGTGCTATGCCACCTGTCCTTACTTGGAATGCTTTAGCAGAGCTAACGGCAAGTCGGTCTGGGATATAAGCATATTCTATTATTCTCAGCTCGGCAGAATCCCCGTAACTGATATTTCACGTCTTACGTAAGTCAATGGTCTTCTTTCCATATGTGTATCTCGAGGTTAATTTTGTTTTCACGACTTCAAGTGCCAAAATAAGTCGAGGGTATCTTGTGTGTTAGTATACAAGGATACGACCTCGTGCCTATTTTCTTTTTTCATTTACTATATTTATTTATTTATAATATTGTTAGATTAAAATTTCAATTAATTTTTACTCTTATTTTCTTTTCAGATTCTGATTTAACAGCTATGAAAAGAAATAGATATAATAGGTATCAAAAAGTATAAACACAATATTATATTCCTAATATAAAATATCAGTTTTATATGGCATTAATAATAGATGAGTTTTTTTTTCATTTTTAATAAGTGATGTAATAAGTATTTATTATTATTGTAATTCCGAAAATATTTTAGAATAAGTAAGACACCAATGAGAGGTATGGCATATTTCTTCCGTAGATCAATCATCTCTTTGTTCTCCAAATTGGTAGGTTTGATTTATTCAAAAAGTATTTCTCATTTTAAAAAGATTCATTTTGTAAATATACATATTATTTTTGAAGCGCAGCGTAATTAAATGCTAAAGTAGAAGAATAAACTTAATCCTCACCGTTATCTTACGTAAATTTGTGAGCTAACTTTTTACTTTTCTTTTTCATATTATTAATTCATTCCATGATTTACTTATCATTAATATCTATTAAATCACTTAATAGTAAGAGTTTTTATCGCTGACTGCTAATTACTTGTTGTAACACATTCTCATATGCACTGTTTTTGTACTATTGACTTGTTAATACTTGCAGTGAGGATGTGGGTTGTTATACAATTTAACCACACAAAAAAATTATAATTTTGTGTTATTTTTAATGAATTTTGGTGGATAATTAATGATGTTTATATTCTCTCTCTTTCATTTTTTTTCTTTTTCTAATTTTATGGAGGAGAGAATATAAAAAATCACTAAATATATACAGAAATAATATTATTTTATTTAAAAGTGCACCTAAAAACACACTGATATTTATTTTATTTTTCTGAATTACTTGATCCCAATTATCTCTTTGAAGCGAGTTAACTTTTTCCAGTATCGTCACAAGCTTCGACTCTTTTATCCAGCTATGAGACTAATCTGAAATACAGAGCAGAGCAGATCAGAGATAAAAATATTTAAACCCTTCCCAAAGATAACATATGGAAATCGAACCGAAATCCAAATACACTATTTTTTACGATATGTAAACATAATATCGTACCTTTTTTTTTTTTAGTTCATTTTAGCAAGGATTAGAAAAGAAAAGAAAAAGTCTTGTACAAGATAAGAGTGTTCGTGATTAAATAAACTTTATCCAATTTAGTTGGATATTTTGGTCTACTTTGCCCTACGTTTTTTTTTTTTAACTTAGACATGTAACTTTGTCATAAATTGAATTAGTGATCAGAA